GATGGAGTAGTAATCGGAACATGGTGTCGAGCTAGTAGTCCCAAATAGCTCTTAAACTTAGCGGCATTTGGGCCGGATGCCTTACCAGAACGTGGATCAACTTCAACTTGAGTTTTCTCTCTAGCTACCCTCCTTGCTTGTCAACCCCTTTAGCAGAGTGACAGATCTACCTTTATCACCACTTCAGCTCCTACCACTACCACTACCACTACCGAGTACCAGCTGTGGAATCCGACATATCCTGAAAAACAAAACAATATTAAGTTAACATACTTTATAAGTTTGAATAAAAAGAACTAGAAAATGTTAAGATAAACACCTATTATGTTGGTATGTTTTCCCATATCCCTTCATCATGATCACTTCGAATTGCATGTATGTCATCAACTTCATTGTCAACTATGTCATCAAATGGTCTACTTGAAAATGAAGGTGTTTCATGTATATCTAGAGACTCATCTTCATGAATTCAGTGCATGTTTCTTCCTTCTAGGACAATTGACCATCTCTCATTACATGGATCCTTGACATAAAATATTTGTCTCGCTTGATATGCCAAAATAAAAGGTTCATCCTTATACCCAACTTTACTCAAATCAACCAAAGTAAATCCTAGGTCATCTGTTCGCACACCCGTATTCCCTTCAACCCATTTACACTTGAAGACAGGCACCCTAAAAGTAACATAATCAATTTCCCATATCTCTTGTATGACCCCAAAATAACTCATAGAAGGCTGTGATAGGATTTTTGTCTTTAGAACTAGAAAAATGCATAGATTCAGCTTGAATTGTGACCCCACTATTTTGTACTCTACCTTTATCATCTTCTATTTTTGAGTAGAAACAATAGTTATTAATGTCATACCCACCAAATGTAATGACATCACTATTAGGCCCACGAGCAAGTCTCGAAGTGTTTCGAAGCATTAATCTCAACATATACCCTTTTTTTAAACCAAGAAAGGAAACTTTTGTTATGTTCATTCAATACCCATTTTTCATTCATTCGTGGATGTGTTGCCTTTATTTCGGTTATGTGTTGTGATATGTAAGGGATTACTTCATCGGTGTTGTTCAATATGTATAAATGTGCTTGGTCAACTTCTTTCAGACTAACATTTTTAATCTTCAAATTTCGAGTACCCTTACCTTCACATCTTCCATCATGTCTCATCTTAGGAATACCTATTGGTTCCGATTTTGACATGTATCCTTGACAAAACTCAATGGCTTCTTCTGCAATGTACCTTTCCACAATAGAAGCTTCGGCCTATACTCGATTCTTCACATATCCTTTTAAGATCTTCATGTATCTCTCAACAGGATACATCCATCTAAGAAAAATTGGACCACATAACCGAATTTCCCTTACCAAATGGACTATCAAATGCACCATGATATCAAAAAATGAAGGGGGAAAATACATTTATAAGCTGGCACACTATCACAATTGCTTCAGTTTCTAATTCATCTAACTTTTTTGGATCAATTACCTTTTTACAAATGGCGTTGAAAAACAAACATAACCAGAGTAATAGCAATTCTAACAGAAGTTGGTAAGATGTTTCGAATAGCCACTGGTAAAAGTTGTTGCATCAACACATGACAATCATGAGACTTTAAACCAACTAATTTCAACTCTTGCATAGACACAAGACTCTTAACATTTGAGGAGTATCCTTGTGGCACTTTGACCTCACGTAAACACTCACAAAAGCTTCTCTTTTCTTTCTTTGATAGAGTATGACAAGCTGGAGGTAAGTAAGTGCGTTTTCCAAGCTGATTGTGGATGTAATTCAGAACGTATACCCATGTCTGCCAAATCTTGTCTTGCTTTTATTCCATCTTTTGTCTTTCCTTTTATGTTAAGCAATGTCCCAATTATACTATCACAAACATTTTTTTCAACATGCATCACATCTATACGAGTGTCTAACTTCCAACTTACACCAATAAGGAAGATTGAAGAATATAGATTGTTTCTTCCAAATGTTTTTCTCAGTGGATTTCTTTTGGGTCTTTCCAAACACAATATTAATATTTTTCACTTGTTCATATACTTGTTCACCATTGCGTGGTACTCGATGCAATCTGCATTCTCCGACATCCATTAAATGCTTTTTTCATTTTACGATATGGATGATTAGCAACTAGAAACTTTCTATGCCTATTGTACGCAGTTTTTTGTCCATGTTTCAATTGGATATAACTTGTGTCTTCTTGACATATAGGACACGCTAAATGACCTTTCACACTATAACCGCTCAAATTACCATATGCTGGAAAATCATTTATAGTACAAAATAACATTGCACGCAACATGAAATTCACTTCGTGATATGAATCAAATACATCCACTCCTGTTTCCCACAACATTTTCAAATCATCAATTAAAGGACTAAGATATACATCTATGTCATTTCCTGGTTGTCGAGGTCCTGAAATCATCATAGATAACATCATATATTTTCTCTTCATGCATAACCAAGGAGGCAAATTGTAAATGATCAACATAACTGGCCATGAACTATGTTTACTACTTAAATTTCCATAAGGATTCATCCCATCCGTAGCTAATCCAATTCTCAAGTTTCTTGGCTCTGCACCAAATTCTGGAAAGGTTTCATCAATCCTTTTCCATTGTGGAGAATCAGCTTGGATGTCGAAGAAGATTGTCACATTTTCTACCATTTGCATGCCATGTCAAGTTTCTTGCATCTTCTTTTATGGCAAATAATCTTTTAAACCTAGGTATAATTGGCAAATACCATAACACCTTAGCAGGGGGACCATCTACTTCTTCCTCACCACTACTTTCCTCAACTTTGTTTTTGAACCTCGACAAACCACATGTCGGACACATCTTTAATTTAGCAAAATCCTTTCTGTACAATATACAATCATTAGGACATGCATGTATTTTCTTGTACTCTAAACCCATTGGACATAATATCTTCTTTGCCTCATAGTTACGAATAGGTAATGTATTATCTTCAGGAAGCATCTCCTTCAACAACTCCAATAATTCGGTGAAACTTTTATCAGTCCATCCATTTCTTGCTTTTAAAGTAAACAATTTTAAAGTTGCTGATAATCTTGTAAAACTACATCCTATGTACAATTGTTGCGCAAAATCAGATTTCAAAGAATCATATAGATGTGCTTTCATAAAATTTTCTTCACCAATATCACGTATCATATCCTCTAGATTATCATCCATCCCTTCATCAAAATTGTCTGTAGTTGACACAGTTGGGATGTCTAATATTTCTCCATGCCATGTCCATATTGTATAACTCTTAATAATACCATAAACAAACAAGTGATCACGTATATCCTCAAGTTTATGACGAATTTGATTCAAACAACGAACACATGGACAATAATATGTCCCTTTCATAGCTTTTCCATTCTCACTAGCATATTTCAAAAATTCCTCAACTCCCTTTTCGTATTCTTCACTAATACGACGTGCATTCATCCAACTTCGATGCATATTATGTTATAAAGTTTCGTCACTCCTAAAGATTTACAAATTATATGTAAAAAAAATTAATATACAAACAACAAATCACATTCCAACAACAATGGAGTGTGTAAACCGAATGCACTCAAACAAATAAACAAATAATTACATTCCAATAACAATGCAGTGGAGACATTCATACTATAACGTGATTGAGATCCCCAAAAACAATCACGGGACATAGAACACTAACCTCGAGTGTAGACGAAAACTGATTTCAAACTCGATTCCAATCGGGCAGAAAGATCAAGTTCGTCAAATGACACGATAATGTAGATGTTTTTCACTGTAAAACTGCTCGAAAATGGTGCGCAGAGGTAGCTGTTGTCGTCGTTCTCGTCGTCGTTCTCAAAAACCCTGGTTGCGCGAGACAAGGAAGTGGGTCTGGAGGGAAATAAAATAGACTTTTTACGTCGCGCATCCCAGCACGCGACGTAAAAAGCCATCTTTTACGTCGCACCTGGAGGGCGCGACGTAAAAGAGGCTTTTTACGTCGCATACTGGGATGTGCGACGTAAAATTTTTGTCCCATATTTACAAAATGCCACCGCGTTTTATTTACGTCGAATATACATGCATGCGACGACAATTGGGTGACGTAAAAGCCCTATTCTGCACTAGTGACAATATTATTGAGAAAGGATAGAAATAATCTATCACTTTCGGGAAAGAAATGTAAATAGAGAGACACTCTGAACTTATCATCCTAACCTACAGTTATAGGCAATACATACCAACGGGTAAACCTTTTCAATTTCATATTTTTACAATTTTTTATCACTAAATTTGTAAAATTACAAATAAGGTTATATCTTCATTCAGCAATACAAATAAGGTTTTGTTTTTTTTTTCGCGTTAAAAATGACATTATGTTTTTTGTTTATCTTAGGCACAGATAGCAACAATCTGGGATTGGGATCACTGCTAAAATTAAATCACTGCTTCACTATGCATGGGAAAAAAGGAAGAAGAGGATAGAAAATCTCAGAAATGAGCCGCAAAAACAGATCAGAACATGGGCCATCCTTGCATTAAAAGCACGTGCATCGTTTACTATCAGATGTGTACCATCATTTTAACTCTTTCAGTCAGAATTTTCATTTTCAGATTTGAAGAGTGCTTGATATATACGATCGATCGTTTAAGTTCATTCGTGTATCGCTTGTTATGGAACTGATTATGTCAAGACGCAATCATTTCAAACATTTGTAATTTGAAAAAAAAAAATGGTCTCCTAATAGGACGATTGATTGATACAGGTAAAAAAAAATATATATATATATATATATAATCAATAACAAAGACTGTTGTAAGGCAGTCACATGATTCTTACATCATGAAATGATCATAAAACTGATCTAAATCTAGATGACATGAGACAATGAACACGAAATCTGAAACCAATGTTTCTGTAGCTACAAACCACGAGGAAACAAAATCTTAATTATAATTAGTCTTTACAAACAAATGAATCACTCGTCAGAGCCTGTCAATACCTTAACCATAACCTGCATGACCCTCACTCTCGTTTGTAGGGACAATATGTAATTAGCAGTTTCTCTGAAGAGACCATCCAAGCCCAAAGAATCACAGTTGGGTACAAGGCTCTTCAATGTTCTCACACGTCTCCGAATCCCGTTTGATCCTCTTCTAGAACCAACCCATCTCTTCATCAAAATCCTCCTCGGCCTTCTAACACCCTTCTTTGCTTGTGCAGCCAAGACTTTCTTCCAGAGACACCCATATGATGAATTTGTGTCTGCTTCAATTCCCTGAAGCAGATCCTTCAAAGAGAGGGAAGCAAGAGAAGGTTGTGAAGAAATCCCCATGATGAAGCTCTTAAGTTTTCAAATTCAGGTTCTAACACAAGGGATATATGTATGGTATAGAATAGCATAAACGGCACACCAAGACACCATAATTTATATACATGGCTTATCTGTACATACATGGGCTTGTTTGCATTAAGGATTAGAAGGTGGGGCCAGGGTACAATTTCCAAGGAGGCTTCCAAGGGAATGGGAGAGAGACAGGTGTACCTAAGTGTGTTGCTTGTTGCTTTGGGCATGTTCTCCAACCCAATGCACATGCATCCACATGATTCTTCTTCACAACACCCAACCTCTCTAAACCACCACCTTTCATCACACACACCTCCATCTAATAAGACCACCCTGGATTATTCCCCTCCCACTTTCCAAATTCAATGCACTCACCATTTGAATTGCCTCCCTTCACCCTCCTTCCAGCTCAATCAACGTGGCATTCCACATATACAAACTCATGCCTTCATTATATTTACTCCCTGCTACTTCAAAGGAAACCATGTTATTGGTCACTAAAACATTAAAGTATTGCAGGACTATTATTTGTCACTGCTTCTGTTTACAAAAAGTGGACATTTTGGATCACAATGTTGGGATAAGATAGATATAGCCTCTGAGATTCATGAACCCTATTAGTTTTTCATTCAACAGATGAATCAGTTTTCCAAAGCACCACCTTCTTTGTATACGTGTCTATCATTCCTATACGTTGCTGAATGCCCTCATCTTTCCATAGACAATTCATATTATGACGCAACAAACAACCATTCATTGTACTTAGTACTTGCACATATCCGATGTAAGATGAGATCCGACAAACATTCCTTCCTCCTTTCCTTTTAATTTTGAATCGTCCCATCACCGCAAAAAGCAAAGGGAGCCATGAAGCTGCAAATTTATTATTACTACACAAGGCTGATGCAACTACAACCAAATCAAGGACTCAGATAACATCTACATGCATGCATCAGAATCCAATTAACAAGTCTCTTCCATGTGGATCATAAAAGCTAAAGCTGCGTGTTATATTGAAATTTAGAAACATATTCATGCATTAATTCGTAAGTGAGGTAAGATGATTTCATTTATGTTCAAAATTAATTGATACTAAATCTTCATAGCTGGATTCTATGGTCCTAGATTTTAGTGTGATAGGACTAAAATTTCCACTCTTTTTTATTCTGACGGATGAATAATTTTTTTTCCAGAGGACATAGAAGAAAACACTTTATCTGAATCCAACCAAGTCTTAAATTTTCTTTATAAAAGAATAAGAGAAAAAACGTAACGAATATCTCAACTTATCATTGTTCCAATTCAATAAGTCTCTCAAATCCATCATATTTCTATTCCAAATTGAATAGTCCTTTACAAAAAAAATTAAGCTACATTTATCTTACGGGTACTTTTCGCATTGGTTCTAATGACATCCTTGTGAAAAAACAAAAGAAGAAAATGTTTGTCCTTTCACCTTAATTGTCTCTGCCACTCTGCCAGGTTGGGTATGATGCCAACACAAAATAATCTCCAGAAATCATTGTTGAGAAACGTAAGAATTAACGTATAACATTTGAATATGAAAAACCCTCACTTGATTAAAGAAAAATTATATAAAATTACATTGTTACCTTTTTCGCAGAGCCATATCCCATTTGGAACAAGTCACGGCAATTATATACATGTATATCCTAAATATTTAGGGTTGTAGTTTAGTTTGAAAGTAAAATAAAGCAATTAAATTAAGAAATCATTTACAAAAATAATTAAACTAGTTAATTTGAATATTGCATTGGACTAAACTATTTACAAGTTTAGTTAATTATTCGAGCAAAAATAAGTAAGCAAAAAGTAATGAGTATATATTAGCAAAGTTTATTGGATAAATTTAAGGAAACAAGTGAGGGAACATTCAATATTTGTTCTGATATTATAGAATAAAATTCTGTTTTGACCTTGACCGTTAAGAGGACGAGACATTTACGTTTTACCCTTTATTTTTATTTTTTATTTTTATGTTTCCGTAATATACCTATTTAACAGTAAATTATTCTAATTGACTCTTATTTTTAAGGAATCACTACTAAGTTTCTCTCACCGCTCCTTAAGTCTTTATCTGGTTCACATGATTTACTATCTTAGGAAAAAAAATGTTTGAAGAGAGTTTGAGATGATTATTTGGGTTTGGTTGAGTGTATTTTAAAAGATTTTCAGTGAAATTTTTTATTGGAGAAATGTGGTGTGAGGTGAGGAGAGGAGAAAATAAGATATTCATGAGGATTATTTGTGTAAAGATCACATTCACCCTCAAAATTTTATTTTTTTATTATTCATATTTAATGACTTTTGCTTTAATTTTTTTTAATATTTATTCTTTTAATTAACAACAAAATTCTTTTTTCTTATATTCAAATACCAAATTCATATTTTTTTTCAATTAATCTTTTTTTAATATTTATATTTAAAAAATTTATAATAATACTAAAAAAATTCCAACTACCAACTTTCATCACTTTAATCAAATCAAACTGAACAGTTTAAAATAAATTACTTTGACCGAAAGAAAGAAAGAAATAAATATATATATATATATATATATATATATATATATATAACTTTGAGAAAAAATAAATAAAAATGATAAAATTTTCTTACTTCCTCTTCCAATGTGTAATAAAAATGTAGTTGAACAAATAAAATTAATTTAATTTATATAAGAAAAAAAAATCAATTGAAAAATGCATAATGTACTTGACATAAAAAATAATTCAAGTAATTCAGTTCAACTTGTTTGAATTATTTTTTAGTTTAGTTTACACAAACTATTTTTCTATTTTAGTTCAATTTGTCTGAAATTTAATCAATTTTCAACTTAACAGTAACTAATAGGTTATTTATGTAAATTATTTACCTTTTATATTATTCGATGTAGTATTAACTTATGTAATATTTAGTTTATATACTGATTTTGAACATATCAAAATATTATTGTATTACTTAATGACTAATATATTTTCAACATGGACTAATTATTATTGTAATAAGATCACGTCAAAATGGTGAGAGAAGTTAAAAAGTAATTTTTTTAAATAAAAATATAATAACCGAAACATATATACAAAATACATATTCATAAAACACAACAGTTAATCAAACCATATTTTAATCTTATAAACATATATAAAAAAATTATTTTTTCTCACTGTCACATTTATTTATTTTAAACGCCGATGGTACTGAACCTAGGTTCTTTGAAAGTTAACATACATTTAAAATGGACATGATACGTGGACTTTTTTTTTTTTTAATTCATGACGCATGTCAATTTAAAAATTGTTAATTGCATACACTTAATTATGACCATATTTTAAAAAAAGCAATTTAAAATTCAATATCCGTTTTAAAATAATAAACATATCTAAAAATTAAAATGAGTTACTTTAAACAACAGTTTACAAATCCATTTATAATTTTTTTTTAATTTTATAAAAAATATTTGTCATTAAATTTTTAAAAACAAAACCTCGAAGTCCATTCAATTTCGACAGATAAGGTCGATAAAGATGGTCTCAATTAATTAAAATTGAATACATAAGAAATTCCGGCAAAAATACATCGAGATTGGAAGATTCTCCTTTGAACTTTTTTTTTTTTTTTTTTGGTTTCCGTCTTCCCCTTCCACGTAAACAGACAAAGCACAGCGTCTCTATCCTTCAGATCTAAAATCCAGAAAACCTCACCCCCCCCCCTCTCTATTCCTTCGAAAGGAACTGCGACGATGTCGAGCGACAGCGACGAGGAAGAGCTCCTCCAGATGGCGCTGAAGGATCAATCGCAGCGAGATCTCAACTACGGCAAATCCTCCGGCAATTCACGCAAGCCCGTCGCTAACTACGTCCAACAGCCGAAGAAACCGGCGCCAACTTCCAAACAGTCCAACTCCAAGGGCAGAGTCGCGGACGATGACGACGATTCCGAAGTGGAGATGCTAAGCATCTCCAGCGGCGACGAGGACAACGCCAGAGATCCGGTTGCCGCCTCCAGGACCAAAGGCGCCGCTGCCACCGGAAGACCGGCGCGCGACGACGATCGCGCCTGGGACGGCGAGGAGCCTAGTCGCTGGAAGCATGTTGACGAGGCTGAGGTATGCGATCATCGCTTATGTCAGTGCTTTGCATTTTCGATGCACCGAATCAATCTAATTATATTCTATTAATTAATCAGTACTATTATTTCTCTACGACCTAAACCCTATAATTTCGATAGGATGTAATGCTATATTTTGATTTATACTCTTCGCATACTCTGTCGTAATGCGAGAGGAGAATCTTAGGAATCTGAGATGTCAGTAGATAAGGTTGATATGGAAACATATCATAGAGTTAAAAATAAAGAAGAGGAGGAGCCATATGAAACTCTGACATTGGTTGATTAAATAATATGCAGATACAAAGAGATCATAGTCATACATTTAAATAACAAGAGAAGTTACTGAGCTATGTATGCACTGACTAACTAAATGTTTGAACCCTAACTAACTAATCGGAAAAACAAAATGCAAGCAGCAGATGCAACAGAGAACCCTAGTTTTACGCAATTATCCTGACCGTTTCAGTTCAAGTAACTACACTATAATGTCTATATCAATTCCTTCTTTCGAGAGATTCCTTAATGTCTATCGTGTTTTGTTGCATTTTGGTTTGTATTCCATTCAAATAGCATGTAATTGACAATTTTCTTTTATTTTGCTACTGTTGATAATCCGTAGTGGAAAGTCTACTGGTGGTCTTAATAAAATACGAAAAACATCGTAGATCTTATTATTGATGTCCATGTTCTAACTAGGCTTGGATCATACTTGCCTTAAATGAAATGAGTTCTTGGAGGGCTATGTACATGTTGAAAGAGATTTGATTTCTGGGTATCTCATGTTCTACTGTCATTTCTGTTTTTTGTTATTTATAGTTATTATTTATTATTGATAATATACTATGGAATTTTTTGAAGTAAGTTATTCATCACAAACTTGGAAGTTTGAAACTTAGATGTTCTGTTCATGTTCTATTAGACTAAATGAATTTCTGTTTATTATATGAAAGTACTTATGCAATTCTGTTTAATTTAATGTAGTTGGGCTTCTTTGACAGCTTGCTCGTAGGGTTCGTGAAATGAGGGAAACAAGAACAGCACCTGTGGCTCAGAAATTCGTGCCTCCAAAATTTGAAAGGAAGGGTTCTGCGGCGGGTAGAAAGGGGCTTACCTACTTACAGTCATTCCCACGTGGCATGGAATGCGTTGATCCACTGGGGTTGGGGTAAAGTTCAATTTGATGCTTTTCTTACATTGCTTTTGCTCTTTTTCCCTCTATTCTTGTGTTATTTCCATGCCACTTCAGTTCCATGAGGGATTAATATTGACTTATTGGTATTGGCATTTGGCAGGATCATAGATAACAGAACACTAAGGTTGATCACTGCGTCTTCACATAGTTCTCTGAATGCTGACAAGGATATTGTGGAAGGCAACCTACGGGGTAATTATTTTTATTTGGTAGTTATTATGTAGAGTATTTACTTCACAAATATCTGTCCTTATAATTCTCCTATTTTTCCACACATATTATACCTTTTTTTCGCAAATCATGTCTTCTGTTACAAGATTTGATAATGAGAAAAGAAGGAAGCACTCTTAGTGCATCTCCAATGCAATGGTCTTATAAAACCTTCGCATAAGGATTTATTTTATTTTAAGCTATTCCTACTATGCCACATCATTTTTAAGTTCCCTCTTGCAAGTTTTGCTCAATGGTGAGTTCTTGTAAGAATCACACTTTTATCATTTTTTTATTTTTACTTCAATTTCTTTCAACTTAAAAGTTAATTTAATTATATAATTAAATATATTTTTTATTTTATTTCTTAGACCGAAGTCTTAAATTTAAGAACCTTTCCATCCCACATCAGCATGCTCCAATGGGGGTTTCTTATAAGATCTAGGTCATAAATTTAATATCCTGACTAAGATCCCTGCATTGAAGATCTCTTACTATCAACCAGGAAAGATGAGGTCTTGTTTTGCATTTATCATTAATGCCAATTCAGTCCATTATTTGTCATTTTTCAATTGAGTAAAGGTTTTGTTTTAGGAAGGTAAACTATACCAGCAGAGAGGATTGAATTAGAAAGAGAGGAATTTGTTGATAAATGGTTTGGCCTGTGAATTGTGAAATAATTTAGTGATCTGAATAGGATGTTTAATTGTTAGAAATCAGAGTAAAAAAGATGTAGAAAAATGGAAGACAATCTTAGTCTTTGCATTTCACCTAGGGTTCTCCAGTATCATGGCTTGGAGTGGAATCTCAAATTTTGGCAAGATGCTCAAACTTTTCTGTTTCTTTTAAAACTGATTATATCATTTAAATAAAAGTATAGGACTGGTCAATATTTGGGAGTTTAATCTACAACTAGGACCCAAGGAAACAAATCAGCCATCAGTAAATGGACACAAAAGGACAATAACTGGGTTAAATTAAGGAAAGGCCCTCTATATATAAAATCAATAATCAGTTACAGATTTGTGTGATGAAATTATGTTTATGTTTCTCATAGGTGTCTGGCTCATGGCTATTTCAAGAGTTTGTATTCCTAATTTGCTGGGAGACCAACTACTTTTATGAGTTTTTCATGTTCTTAAGTTTCTTGTTGCATTTAAATTTGCTGAGGGTGTACCCATGGTTTAGAAACAACTATGTTCTTCCTTCTTGTTTTATCTATAAGATATTATTAGAAGATGGATTTTGACATTCTAAACACACTTGTTATTTGAATAAAATAGGCCATGATGGATTCAGAATGTTTTGTGCAATATGTGTAAGCAGAAGGATGTGTGCTTGTTATTGTATTGTTTCATCTCTGTATTATTTAGTAAAGTTAGTTAAATAGTTATCTGTTTGACAGTTGTATCAGCTCTTTCTGTAGTACAGTTGGTTAGACCTCTTGCACCCTATATAACATAACAGGGCTTTTCTGTATCTATTACTTAGAATTAGTAGTGCAAAATCTTTTCTCAGTTTTCATTTTATCTCTGATAGTGCTTTTGTACTGTGAATTATTTTTGACAACTATTATATCCACAAGGCTCTACCTACAAGCAGAGGAGTTCGGATAGTTTGTGAGATCTTTGGTCCAGACCTCATTGCCTTCTGTGGTACAAAAAAAGATGGGCAATTTGGTTTTTTCTTGTATGAAGGAACAAGATACAAACAATGTTATCAATAGCAGATAACAATCTATGGTGGTAAGCTAAAAATCCTCCATATATATGGTGGATGGTATGGTGACCTACTATGGAAGCCGTGGCAGACAAATGTATATGAACTGAAAAAAATGGCAAAAAATAAAATATATTAAAAAAGCAGAATGACAAACTACAATTCATAACATTTATATTAGTCACATGATTGTCACCTCATAAAGTCTTGAACATAATCATAAAAACACTAATATATCATTTGTCATTTTCGTTGACAGTTGTCTAGTGTTTCCATCTTATGTCTAGTATTAGTAACAGAGTTTGAAGATGCATTGCTTTGGTTTTGGGTTCCTGGCATTATCCTACCGTGAAAAATAATCGGGAACAAGGTTTTATAAGTATACCTGAGAAGAACAAACAAATACTCAGTTCAGAAATTAAAAAAAAAAACAGAAAGCTATAAAAAAAGAACACCAACTAGATAAAGAAGAACAATTGAAGAGAGGAGTAAAGGAGAGTAAAACAAACGAGGAAGAAAACAAAAACACGAAGGCCAAAATGGAGGGTACAGGAAGATAAAATAGGTGTAAAATATTGGTTTCAAGGTTCAGGTTGGTGGAATAATTTAATGTTAGAGACAGTTCAAAGGAGGCTTGATGAAGGAGAAGACTTATTCTCTAATGCTTATTAGGATTCGCACACCTTATAGAATAAGTTTTTTGTTCGTATAAGAGACCTCATTCTGTAATTGTTCAGGCTCGGGTTGTTTAACAATTGGCCAAGCCCAAAATACGGTTTAAAAAAAAAAAGCTGAAATTTTTCCATAAGCATCTCCAACTGCCATGCACAGCCATTTGATGGCACTGGTTACAAGATGTTATTTATGGGATTGTATGTTCTCTATCTCTCCTGTTTCTAGTTTAATTATGTGTAATCATTTGGGACCTCTGAAGGAATGAAATGAGAATTGCATACATTTTTGGAGGGAATAACCAGTCCCTCTTTCTGGGAAGTTACTTTAAAAAACATTGTTCATTCATTTCCCATTCCTACTGTCTGACTATTATTTGAAGTTCAGAAGCAAGTTTTGTTACAGTTTTTATAGTATCATATCCTAACATGTGGCAACATTTTCTGTTACCTGTCTCCCTTGTGTCATGATGTCATGATGTTTTCTTCTTATTAGAAACAAAATGTGGATGCTAATCCTCATGAAAATAGTCATGAAACTGTAATTGCACACAAGTGCTCACCGTACTAAGTAATGGTTGTAAGATGTGAATATAAATGGACATATTATCCATTGAGTTTATAATTTACAAATGAAGCAAATAACCCTTCACTTGTATTGTTTAGATTGATTGGAGATCTTGTAACAACTTTCTTCTTCTTAACTCTATATTTATTTGGGTTTATGTGATTCTTCTCTAAGTATTCATGAGGTTGATAGCATTTTTGTTGCCATTATACAGAAAAATTGCTGTACTTTTCGGAGAACTTTGATGCAAAACTCTTTTTATCCCGGATACACAGTAATACCAGTGCTGCTGATCTGGAGGCTGGTGCACTTTCTTTGAAAACTGATTTCAAAAGTCGTACTGAGCAGAGAAAACAGTTGGTTAAGGATAACTTTGATTGCTTTGTCTCTTGCAAAACAACAATTGATGGTATGGACTTTATTTTTGCATGGTACTCAAACCTAGTTTTACCTTACTAAAGTTCTCAAGATATTTTATTTTGACGGGAAAAACTTTTATTTTCCAGATATTGAGTCAAAGTTAAGACGAATTGAGGATGACCCTGAAGGGTCTGGGACTTCCCATTTGTTTAAAATTATTCAGGAAGTCAGTTCACAGGCTAATCGTGCTTTGAAGCCTTTATTTGAGAGACAGGTGGCTGAAGTTTTTGTTCTAGATTTTCTTATGGATGCTATTCTGGATTTGAAAATAATTTTTTTCATGACTTCTATGAATTTTGTAGTCTCAAGCAGAAAAGATTAGAACTGTGCAAGGTATGCTACAGAGGTTTCGAACGCTTTTCAACCTACCAAGTACTATCCGTGCCAGCATTAGCAAGGGTGAATATGATTTGGCAGTTAGGGAGTACAAGAAGGCCAAATCAATTGCTCTACCCTCTCATGTATAAAACTTTTATTTTGATTTAGATTTTTCTATCGGTGCCGTGCTGATTTGTAAACAAGTTTAATTTTGAGGTTTCTTGAAACTCTATAGATGCTCATTCATTTTTGTTTTCAAGTTTCATCCATCCATTGTACCAATATAAGAATTGCATCCATTCAAGCATTTATTAGTTTAGGGGTATATCATGTTTGCGATTTTTTTTCTGATTGTTTTGACCATATGCTTTATCATGCTCATTTACATATTAACTTGACTATTCTTACGGTCTCTGTTCAGATTCAGGTAGGTATCCTAAAACGTGTTCTCGAAGAGGTTGAGAAAGTGATGAATGATTTCAAGACCATGCTTTTCAAGTCTATGGAAGATCCACAAATAGATCTGACAAACGTAAGTTTTTTATTTCTTCAATTTACTGAATGAAACTATTTGCAAAGAAGTACTGGAGTGTAATGAGGTTGCATTTCAGTATGCAGTGCCTTTGATTTTACTGATCCGTGATACATTGATTTCTCCTGCATCTTGCATAGCAGTAACTGATACATAAGATTGCATGAGTTAGTTGTGCTGTAGTCCAATTTAAAATGAAATTTTAATTTCTTGTTAAAAAGAAATAAATAAAAGCTGCAGTTTACTTGCAAAATGCAGATAGATTTGTGTTTAAAGCTTCTTCATTTTATCTCCTTCTTTCTGTTTTATAATGATAGTTTAAAGTTTATTAAAGCACATCCCCTTGCAGAGCCATTGTTAGTGGGCTGGCTTGCGGCAAGGTCTTTGGGTAGTTTGTAGGAGAGACTCATTGATATAGTCTAACATAGCAATACAAACATTTCTAGATTTAGAAGCAATTGATTTTATTGTTTAAATTTTCCTTAGAGTTCATTCATTATTATTCCATCACTTGTCATTGAACACAAATTTAATTTCTTAAACAAGTGTGAAGGTTCATGATAAAAGAAGTGTACAAAAGAAAATAACAAAGAACCATTTCATCACTTGTTAAATGTAAATAAAGTATAAAGAGTAACGTCTCTCACTTTTTTGTGAGGCTCCTTATCATAGAAAAATTGTAAGGCTCAGCAAATTGGCTTGAGAAGTTGAATATGCCTTTCTTGAAACATATATGGTCATCTTGTTTTTGGTATTTGGCAATACAATGATATAAGAGATTAGGAGGGAAAGGAGAAAGGAGCACTCAAAAACAATTTACTCCTCTAGTGGCGTGAAATTTTGTACAAGTGGGAGGAATGTGTGATGGGATTATCTTGTTTTTTTTTTTTTGAAAATGTTTGAAAATTAATTGAATTTTATTGCACATATTTTTATAAGTATATTAAGAAAAAAATAATTTAAAAAAATTGCTTTTTTTAAGTTCAACTTATTTTTTTAATTAGTGTAAAAAGTTTTACAACATACTTATTTCTTTCCACTTTCTTTTTCATTCATCAAAATTATTTACGGGAAAAATTTTCACTGTCATTTTATTTCTATCTATGTAATGAATACATTTTTTTTTCTATTCTATTTCCCTTGTATTTACATCCTTTTAATTTATTTCTCTTATTTATTCTCCCTGTTTCACTCATCCAAACAAACCATAAGTGCGCACAATATTATATAGTGTCTCTTAATATTCTTACGATAGGTTCACCATTATAGATTAAAGGTTAAAATACAAGACAAGTAAAATACTGATATTGATTTTTAGATTAAAGGTAAAGATACAGGACTATACACATATTGATTATTAATTTAGATCCCTTTTCATGTTGCATATATTTAATTTTGTTTGAGTTTTTGGACATTAGTCACGTCCAACAGCTGAGTTGGACTCCGTACTTCATAATGTCATAGTGTTTCTAATGTTCAAGATCTAAAGAGACTTTTGATAGCCATGCTGCACTTGTTTACTTACTACCTGTTTTTTGAATTTTGTGCTTTTGAGAGGATAGTTAATCTTCTGCCCTATTGTACTTCTCATAATTTTTTTACATAATATAAGTTTCTGTATGTATACAGGGAAAAAATAACCACTGAATATACTGTGGAACTAAACTTGTCAGAATAAATCCCATAGGTCTATCGAAAGGTCATACCCACAAATAGTGATAATGGAAAGGACTTTAGGGTAAACATCATTAATAGATAGTCAGTTTTCTAAAACATAATTTAATCTTTGTTGTTCATTAGTGAATATCAAGATGTGCAGGATTCTGTTTTGATCTTGTTGAAGAATATTTAAGCTATTGGCTCTTGTCAATATTTTAAGTGACATTGTGACATTCGTAATCATAGAAGAAAAAATGTTCATGAACATCTTAATCCTTATAGTTTTGTTGTTTGCATGGACAGTAGTAAAACCTACCTATACTGACTGCAGCATGAACTGGTGATATTTAATGTGGTGATTAAGTTAGACATGCATTGCAGTTATCTTTATTCTCTGGTTGCTAGGATTATCATAACACTTTCTTTTTTTCATTTAGCTTGAGAATACTGTGAGGTTACTGTTGGATTTGGAGCCAGAGTCAGATCCAGTATGGCATTACTTAAATATACAGGTTAAAAATTCCTATCCATGCTCAAATGAAATATATGCCATTTAATTTTCTTAATTACTTCTCTCAAGTTGTTTTTACTGTATACTGGGCAACATTGAATAGTACGGATAAAATGTTGCTGTTGGTAGTAATGTTGTTGACCTGTTGTTTATGACAATTAAGTATCTTAATAATTGGTACCTACTGCTCCCCTAGGTTTTTCACACTTTTAATTTTTTCACCCTTTGAGCTTTGATTGTTTTAACAACTGTTCATTTTCACTTTCGTTGGGATAACCAAACCGTTGAGTCTGCTGGATTTGTTTCCTTAACAGAATCAACGAATTCGTGGTCTGCTCGAGAGGTGTACTTTAGATCACGAGGCTAGAGTGGAAAATTTGCATAATGATTTGCGTGATAGGGCTATTTCTGATGCCAGATGGATGCAAATTCAAGATGTGGATGAATCTGTAGGTGTAAAGTTTATTGTCATTTAATGTCATTAGGCTAGGTTAAAATTTTGGTGTCAAGGGTTTTTAATATTATTTTTGTAACTATTGTCAGTCAGATATCAACAACTCCACTATTGGTAATAGCTATCCTCCAGTCCTTTCTTATCAAGCAGATCTAAGTGGCGAAGAGCTTGATGGTTTAAGAGGAAGGTATATTCGTAGATTAACTGCTGTAATCATCCATTATATACCAGCATTCTGGAAGGTTGCACTGTCTGTTTTCAGTGGGAAATTTGCAAAGGTATTATGATTTGGTGTTGACATGTGCTTGAATTATTTATAAAATTTTATTTTCATTCTGAATTATGTCATGTGATATCTGAAATCTTTGATATTTGTCTGTGCTCCCTTCGAGTTTTTAATTTATCTTCCTTAGTAATCTAGAGTCCACAAGATACTTCTGGAAATGCAGTTATGATTTTATTTTTTGTGTGTTTTACCATTCTATATATATTTTATTTTAGTGTTGTTTATTTTCTTAAACTTATCATATATAATTACATCTGCCATATATTTAGGGGGGGCTTTTTTCTTTTTCCAGTCTTCCCAAGTTGCCACTGATTCAAATTCCAACAGTTCTGTAAATAAAATTGAAGAAAAAGCTGGAGATGTGAAATACTCAAGTCATTCTCTTGATGAAGTTGTTGCAATGATATGTAGCACAATATCAATGTATGGAGTCAAGGTAATGTGTTCACATGACCCTTTCTCCTTCTATGAAAATATTTACTTTCTGACTTTGCAGATTCTTTATAGTATGCAAGGAGAATATATTTCCTATTTTTTTCTCTGCAGTGTTATACTTTATATGTAGTAGTATATTTTTTCTCTTTTTTGCTTATTAATTTTAATTTCTGATTTAACATGACAATTTGGAGATTTGGGTTAGAAATGTTTGTGGAATTTTCTGGGTTAGATTTCATAGGTCCATAATGAAGCTATATTAGAAGAGGAGCCAGGGAATAGAAGAGGAAAGGACAAATGGGCCTCAAACAAGGTCAGGTTTCTAGGAGGGTAGAGAAGGGAGATACAAGAACCTTGCAGGAAGAGGGACGTGAATTCGTAGTTTTACTTTTCTTACAATTCTTCTCAATCTATATTATAATAGAAGACTTTTCTCTATTTTGAGCAGTGTCAATATAAATACTATTTTCTTCATATTCAAATTCTGGTGCCGTCTCCATCAGATTTTTCTGTTCTGCTTGGCTATAGATGTGCACAGAGAGTGCAATTTTTTTTTTTACTCAAAAAGAATGTTGGTAGCCCCTTACCAGAGGTATGTAAGAATGGCCTTTATCTTCTGGTCTGGATAACGTTTTTGACCCTTGCCATTCTTTGTGCTATTAGGCTATGACAGTTTTCTGTTAGGGCTATCATTCTTGATAGTCTCTTGAATTGAACTTACATGACTTGTTTATTCAGTCTTGGAGTCATATATATGTTTAACATTCTCTTTTTGAAGATCTGGCTTGTATTTGCTTGTTCCTCTTCCTCTTTTTCTCTGTATTCCTATTCTTCATTTTTTTATTATATAAACATAAAACATACATGTCAAAACTTAATCTAGTCATTTTGAGAAGTGTGTATACTGCAACATGATTTGATTTGATAAGTACAATGTACTTCGTGGTTCTCTCTTTTTCCTATTTGTTTTGCATGTCCTGATAGTGAGACTCCTATTGGTGTAGGTTACTAACGTTTTTCACGATCTAGAGGAATCAAATGTCCTCCGGTCCTACATGAGTGAGGCAATAGAAGATATATCTAAAGCATGTGCAGCTTTGGAATTGAAGGAAGCTGCTCCTCCGATTGCTGGTATCAGTTCTTGAAATCTAGAAGTTATTGTCATTTATTAAGGGTCTGATTGTCATTTATCAGTTCTCTCTCTTTGTTGCAGTTTGTGCTATGCGAACATTGCAATCAGAGATTATAAGGATTTATATACTGAGGCTTTGCTCTTGGATGCGGGCATCAGTTGAAGAGGTTTCAAGGGATGTGACATGGGTTATTGTATCAATTCTTGAAAGGAACAAATCCCCATACGCTATCTCATTCTTGCCTTTAAGATTCCGTTCAGTTTTAGCCTCTGCAGTGGATCAAATCAATTTGTAAGTTTAAATATATTCATATAGGATCTGATGCCTTAAAGTGAAGTGGGTGATTAGAACGCAATATAAACCAGCTATTAGGTATTAGAGTAAAATACTACTGTAATATATCAGGGTAGCAGTATTTTACTCTAATTTTAGGTAATGAAGTGGGTGATTAGTTTCATTTTCCTTCTTACTCATAGTATAATATTGTCTCCTTCTGAGTATGTTGTAAGGTGGTTGTCCAATAACACCCTGGCTTTTATCTAATTGGGGGAGTTAGCTACATGAATCAGTGCCAGTGAACTCATGTTTCTCTCTGATAATTTTAATAAGAACAATTTTTTAATTTGATCAACTTCCCATAGTGGAGCTTTTAGTGGTTTTCTCATATGATGAAATCATCTTATGTGATTTTTGTTTGGTAATCATATTGGTCAATATTTGCTGATGAAATTTTCTTCCAGATTGATTGGTTCTTTATCTAAGTGTTATAGCATGAGATATTCGTTTCCTTATTTCATTTTTATATAAATTTATTTCAAGTAATTAGTTTCCTTTATTTCTATTACTATGGCAGCCAAACATCATAATTTTTGCCTGTAATTATTAGGATATATTAATCAGTCAGCCTATATATTTTTTAATCTCCATGTACAGAAATTATCAGAGGAATAATATTCAGTTGTTCACTTATTTTAAGTCTTAGCTTTCCAGGTGGCTCCGAAGCAGCACCCTTGTTATCAGTTTTGCTCTATTGTGGCAGAGCATTGCATCACAACCTCTGGCTACACTTGAAATAGAAAAAAGAAAATAAAGAACTGATTTTGAGAGCCCTAAAATCATCTTCTTGTGTTCTCTTATTTATAGGAGATAAAAATACAGATTCAGAGATACAATTAATAGAGAGACATGATTAATCCTAGAAAAGATAAACAGATGCATTCTAGGAACTAGGTCTACAACTAATCTCATAAATGTCCAACAAGATACACTTAATCTAATAAATACTTCAACACTCCCCCTCAAACTGGAGCATACAAATTGAATGTACCAAGCTTGGAACAAATGAATTCCATTCGAGGTCCTCTCAAAGATTTTGTTAATGCATCTGCAAGCTGATCATTGGAACCAACAAACTCAGTACAAATTTCTTTAGTCAACAACTTCTCCCGAATAAAATGACAGTCAATCTCAATATGCTTAGTCCTCTCATGAAATATTGGGTTGGAAGCAATGTGAAGAGCAACTTGATTATCACAATACATCTTCATAGATTGAATCTCACAGAAGTTCAATTCTTGCAAGAATTGTTTTACCCAAACAAGTTCACAAGAGACGCCATTGCCCTATATTCAGCTTCAGCAGAGGATCGGGCAACAACGTTTTGCTTTTTGTTTTTCCATGAAATGATATTTCCTCCAAGGAAAACACAATAGCCTGTAGTGGAATGCCTATCCATAGGAGATCCAACCCAGTCAGCATCACAGTACCCAAAAATTTGGGTATTTCCCTTATCTTCATATAATAATCCTTGTCCTGGAGCTTTTTTAATGTATCTTAAGATTCGAATGATAGCATTCCAATGATCCACACAAGGAGCTTGCATAAATTGGCTGACAACACCAACTGCAAAAGACAAATCAGGTCTAGTAATTGTCAAATAAATAAGTTTCCCAACCAGTCTTCTATATCTTTCTGGGTCAGAGAAAACTTCACCCTGTCCTGCCATTAACTTCAAATTTGGATCCATAGGACTGTCCACAGGTTTGCAATCAATCATACCTGTCTCTTTTAGAATATCTAGAGCATACTTCCTTTGAGAGATGACAATACCTTCTCTTGATTGAGCTACTTCAATACCCAAGAAATATTTTAGATTTCCAAGATCCTTGGTCTGAAAATAACTACACAAGTGCTCTTTTAGCTGAGATATTTTAGTGGCATCATTCCCTGTGATGACAATATCATCAACGTACACAATTAAATAAACATGTTTGCCAGGGGCAGTGTGACAATAAAACACTGAATGATTTGCTTCGCTGCGTTTTAATCCTAAAGCTTGAACAATAGAGCTGAATTTTCCAAACCAAGCACGTGGAGACTGCTTTAGGTCATAGAGGGATCGACGTAATTTACAAACCAAACCAGACTCCCCCTGAGCAACAAAGCCAGGAGGTTGCTCCATGTAAACTTCTTCTAAGTCACCGTGCAAAAAAGCATTTTTAATATCCAATTGATGAAGAGGCCAATGACGAATGGTGGCCATGGCAAGGAACAGGCGGACAGTGGTCATTTTGGCTACTAGAGAAAAAGTATCACAATAATCAAGTCCATATATTTGAGAATACCCTTTAGCCACTAACCTGGCTTTAAGACGATCAAACCTGACCATTGGGCCCAACTTTAATAGCATAGATCCAACGACAACCAACTGTTTTCTTTCCCGAAGGGAGAGGAACAAGCTCCCATGTTTTGCTATGATCAAGAGCCTGCATTTCAGAAATCATGGCTTGTCGCCATCCAGGATGATCAAGCGCTTCGACCACATTTTTGGGAATTGTAATAGAGGATATAGAGGAAATAAAAGAACAATAGGAAGGAGACAATCTATGATAACTAAGAAAATTGTAAATGGGATGAGGATTACGAGTAGAACGAGTACCTTTGCGAATGGCAATGGGCCAACTGGAGTCATCGTTATTAGGAGCCGTGGTATTAGAGGATGATGGTGAAGGACCTGTTATGGATGACTCATCTTGTGGAATGGGATTGTTCACCTGGTTCCTGCGTTGATAGGTGATGATAGGCTGTGATGATGATTCTAGAGTATTTTGGTTGGGATTTGGGGTGTTAGGAATAGGAGGTACAACTGATTCAACTAAGGGAACAGGAAAAACATTTTGGACAGTTCTGCATAGAATAAGGGAAGAAGGATGATGATTCAAAAAATGTGACATTAGCATACATGTAGTACCTCTTGGTTTCAGGAGAATAACACCGATATCCTTTTTGAAGACAAGAATACCCCAAGAAGACACATTTGATAGCTCTAGGTAAGAGTTTATCTAAGTCAGGAGACATGTCATGAACAAAACATATACATCCAAATACCCTAGGAGAAACATGAAAAATTGGTTCCTTTGGAAATAGAATAGAGTGTGGAACTTTATTATCAAGAGAAGAAGATGGCATTCTATTAACTAGAAAGCATGCAGTTAGAATAACATCTCCCCAATGATGAATAGGCATATTGGCACCCAGCAATAAGGTACGAGCAATTTCAACTAAATGTCTATTTTTTCGTTCTGCTATACCATTTTGCTGTGGTGTGTGAGGACACGTGGACTGGTGTAAAATGCCTTGAGAATTTAGGACATTAGAAAAATCATTAGAAAAGTACTCTTTGGCATTATCACTTTGTAAAACTTTGATTACTTTTCCAAATTGAGTTTTGATTTCATTAAGGAAAGACTTAAATATAGACAATAGTTCAGAACAATCTTTCATAAGATAAACCCAAGTACATCTAGAAAACCCATCAATAAAAGTAACAAAATATCTAAAATCAAAAGATGAAACACGACTAGGTCCCCATATATCTGAATGAACAATACTAAAAGTAGAATCACATCTAGATTCAGAATGGTTTGGAAAGGATGACCTGGTATGTTTCCCTAGTTGACAGGATTCACATTCAAAAGTTTGAAGGTTCTGAAGTTCAGGAACCATTTTTTTCAATTTTGCTAAATGAGGATGCTCTAATCGCTCATGTAACAATTTAGGGGATAAGGATGCAACACAAGATAAAGATGACTTAGTCCTAAGGTAGTATAAGCCTCCAGATTCATGTCCTTCTCCAATCAGTCGACCCGTACCACGTTCCTGGATAACAAAACAATTGGCACTAAAGGTTACTGAGCAATTCAATGATTTGGTTAATTGGCTTACAGAAACAAGACTGAATGGAAAAGAAGGAACACAAAGAACATTTTGAAGGTTTAAAGAAGAAGAGATGGATACTTGACCAATTCCTTTAGAGGCTACTTTAGATCCATTAGCTAAAGATATGAGATGGGATGTTTTAGGAAATGAAAGAGAGGAGAATAAAGAGGTATTACCAGACATGTGGTCAGAAGCACCTGAGTCAATAATCCACGGATTTTGACTTTCCACAGATTGCGAAATGCAAGTGTTTGACGAATTTGGTGTTATAGATGCTTGAGCCAAATTGGTTGATTTCATCCTTAAATATTCTTGATACTCTTCATGAGAGAACTTGGGCTCATCAACTTCAAATTTTGAGGTATTAGCTGCCTTATCAGGAAAGCGGTGCAGAGCAAAGCAATTTTCCTTAGTATGTCTCATTCTTTGACAATGAGGACATTGAGGACGTCCTTTCCCACCACGTCCTCTAGAGCTGTGATTACCTCTTCCACGAGCAGAAATCATGGCGGAAGAATCAGCAAGTTCCTGACTGTTTTTGCTTTTGATAGAAGGAACACGAAGTAGCCTTGTGATTAAACTCTCCGTAGAAGGAACTTCTTCTCCAGTTAGAATCTGGTCTCTAACATGATTAAACTTTGGATTCATAGCCCTAAGAATCATTACCATATAGAATTTATCCAGCTTCGTCTTTCTTTCTTCTAATGATTCTGCCTCTAGAAACATTTTTAATTCTTCAACAACTGACTGAGCTTCAGCAACAAAGGACATCATGGAATTATCCTCTTGCTTAAGGGAGGCTAGTCTATTAGCAGAATCATAAAGTCGTTGAATATCATTAGCAAAGATATTTTGGGTATTTTTCCAAAAAGAATTACATGTCTTGAAGGCTAGAAGAGTGCTCAAAATATTTGGTTCAACAGATTGCCATAATAGTGCACAAAGTTGATAATCCAGTTTCTTCCTTTGATAATCCTTCTTCTAGATGATTATGAACTCCTTGACCTAGAAACCAGAGCTCAACAGAGGAAGCCCAAGACAAATATTTTTTCCCATTTAATTTTTCTGTGGTTATAGTCGGAGTCCCAGAAAAAGATACAGACACAAGTCCTGACATTTTCCAGGAAACAAGAAAGGACAAACGTGCTGTCAAAGAGAGGACCGAGAGAGGCAGAGAGAAAAAACGCAGACCCACCACGTTTTGTGATCGAGAACACAAAACAAAGTGCAGATCTGACACCAGGGCGACGAGGCGAGCCGGATAGAGGTGGCCTGGAGCAAAACAGCCACCGGGAGGGCGGCGCGTGAGGCTCATGCGAGGAGGAAGCCGCGGACGAGGGTGGCGCGTGAGGCAGAGACAGAGGAAGCGAACACTGGGGTTGGGTCACGCTCCTCGAGGCGAGCCAAACCCAAGTGTGAGAGAGAAAAGGCGCCGGAGAAGACAACACCGGCGGCGGACGGCGGTGAACGGCGATTAATGCCAGAAAAAAAACAGAGACAAGCAGAGCGGGATGAACCCGCTCTGATACCAACTTGAAATAGAAAAAAGAAAATAAAGAACTGATTTTGAGAGCCCTAAAATCATCTTCTTGTGTTCTCTTATTTATAGGAGATAAAAATACAGATTCAGATATACAATTAATAGAGAGACATGATTAATCCTAGAGAAGATAAACAGATGCATTCTAGGAGCTAGGTCTACAACTAATCTCATAAATGTCCAACAAGATACACTTAATCTAATAAATACTTCAACAGCTACTATTTCCAGATGCAACTGACAATAATGTATGGTGTGTTTTGGGGAGTGTGAGTATTTTTGTGATTTCTCTCTCCCTCATATAATGAAAGGGTGTGAACCCTTCTTTCATTAAGATCTCCTGGCTGCTGCCTACCCTTTATCTTTTCAGTCAAACCCTGCTTGGTGCTGCCACTTCAGTTTTTTTTTTTTTTTTTTTTAATCTTCCCTTTTCTATGTTCTTTCATTTTTTTTCTCTGTTCTCTGCCCATATGATTTTATTATTAATCATAAATATCTATTTTTTTAATATATATTTGAGCTCAAGTTACCTCTAGAGTAACTCTAAATGAGTTACTTTCCAACCTCTCCCTTTCATTTCTTTCTAATCTAACAATTAAAAATGACTTACGTGTTAGAATAATTAGATTAGAAGAAAATAATGAAGGGTGAGGATGAGGAGGAATGTGTATGTGTGAGCAGCTGTGTTCTCTGTCAGCAGTCCCTCAAGTATTGTGTCTTAAAGTAGTAGGCACTTGTCTACATGGCCAGGTGGTCCAGATCTACTTACTTGCCAAAGGCACGATGTGGGGTTGGAACTATGGGCTGTATATATAAAAAGGGAAAATGACTACGGAAAATATTTGCAAAATGATCCCGAAAGAGTAGTTTTAATCTGAAGTTGTTAATAGAAGTTGAATAAGCCAAGAGTTATTAAAACTAAATTTTGTTAGCATCAGATATTGTGTTTAATTTGTAAACTCATTTTCTTGATTATTGTTTAGGGGTATGCTTGTAATTTTCTTCATTGTTTATCTCTGTCTTAATTTTATTTTTCTAGTCCACTATCTTTGGAGTGAAGTTTAGTGTTTCTGTATATCTCATGGACCAACAAGGAAAAAATGTCAATATCTTAATTTGGATAAGAATCCCTGACCCCTACTATATACACTTGTCATTTTTATTTTTATTTTTTACATTGGGTTAATATTTCAATGATGATCTCGTCAGGATGCTTCAGTCCTTAAGGAATGAGGCAACAAAGTCAGAGGATATGTTTATGCAATTTCAAGAAACTCAAGTATCTGTCAGACTTGCAGTTTTAAACTGCTTCCTGGATTTTGCTGGTATGTTGGATTTAGTTAATCTTATACCCAATAGCATGCTTTTCCAGATAAATGAAATGAAAGAAAACTAAAGTAAGATAGTGAAATAACATAAGCAAACACAATGGTGTTGTGGCTTAAAGTTTCAGTTATGAGTCAGTTTCTGTTTAATTGTCAGGTATTTTAGAGCGTATTGGTTTTGAACTCGGCCAACATAGATCAGGTGAAGAGGGCTCGCAGTTACCAAATGGATATACTCATGAATTGGATAATACTTCCTCTGATCTTCATGGAGGTGTTGCTTATCCCCATCAAAAGTTATTGGTAGTTCTAAGCAATATCGGTTATTGCAAAGATGAACTTTCATATGAGTTGTATAACAAATATAAACACATCTGGCTGCATTCCAGGTACTCCTGTCATTGTTGTTCTGTGAGTATATATAAAGTTCTGGTAAAATATTGTGGAATTCGTCAGTAATGCGCGCTATTAAAGCTAAGTGAGGCTTGCTGACTTTGTTAGCCTGCAACTTGTAAGCCAACCCTGTAGAAAATTATCATTTGGTTTGTGGTGACTTTACCTCCGAAATTAGATTTTTTAATCAGTTAGTCTTGTCTTTGATGTCTTCCCAGTAATTTGATTGTCATCATTCATTCAATATGATATGTATATATCTCAATTCTTATCTTTAAGATTGAGATTCAATTTGGCTGGCAATAACTTTCAACCAATCAACTAATTCTCTTGTAACCATCTTGTATGTCTAACTGTATATGTGACTGACTAGTCACTCTGTTCTATATAATTTTCTATAAAGATATTTTTTCTTTTGTATTTACCATAGCATTCTGATTCTTGGTTTGATTTTAATTCAGGGAGAAGGATGAAGGAAACAGTGATGTACAAGATCTCGTGAATAGTTTCTCAGCGCTTGAAGGAAAGGTCCTTGAACAGTATACTTTTGCAAAGGTAATGAGAAAAATATCATTACTGTTTTTCAAGAAAATAACTAGGTGGGAAGCAGATGATTATAGAGGCTGTAATCAGAGTTATAAGGGCATCTAATTAGTAATTACTTATTTGGTTTGTGAATTATAGTTCATTTTTCTAAAAAGATTATCTGAATCATCTGTAATAATTGACGGGTATCACGATTGGTTTATGGAGGAATTATCAGTCAGAAGAATAGACTGTCCTCTGTTTCTCAAATATGAAAGTATAGTAATATTATACACACTATAAATTATAAGGTTTTGTGCCTTGATAGACCGGCCAGTCTTTCCCGCAACTCTACCAACCTGTACTCTGCAGTCTAAATTTCAGCCATTAACATCGAATAATGAAATAAAATAAATGAATAAGTTATTATCTGCTCCTGCTCTAAGTAATACAAAGTTCTAAATATCATCAGATCAGCTAATAACAGGTGGTCAATGATTAGTTTCCAACAAAAAACTTTTGAGCTGTGTTTGATGTTGCTGGAATATTGAATGCTAAAAGTACTGTAAAACATTTAAATTTAGATTAATAGTTTTCTAGATTAAAAAAGACCAGGTATTCTGAAGCAGGAAGACATGGGTAGTAAGTATTAACACTGGGCCTACTCATGTTGGAAAAATTTGTACTCTGTGTACATGCTTTCTCTATTCACTACCATGACGATTTATTGTGTTCTCATCAGGCAAACTTGATCAGATCTGCTGCCATGAATTATCTGCTGAATTCTGGCATTCATTGGGGAGCGGCACCTGCAGTTAAAGTGAGGAGCTAGTGACAATAGTTTTTATTGTAAATATGACTTCTGAAATGAGTTTTACTTTTTTCTTTTAGAAAAGATGTTTTGATGTCATGTTCCATTTTATGTTGGTCTCTTCCAGGGTGTCCGTGATGCAGCAGTAGAGTTGCTGCATACATTGGTAGCTGTCCATGCAGAGGTAATGATTGCATGTAATTTGGGATTATGTACCCCACACTTTGCACTTCAGAAAAAGGTGAAGGAAATACTAGGAATAAAAACAAAGCATTAGAGTATAAGATATCTTCCTTAAGATCGCAACAAAATCAACAAAAATCTCTCTCCAAATGGTTGCCAAAATATATTTTAAATAATATACCGTGTGCAGAACAGCACAATAAAGGCTACTGACGTTTTCAAGTAGATCTTTTGATCAGGATTTCCTTTCCACCAGAGATACCATACATGTAGAATGGGATAACACTGGCATATTTGCTTCTTTCTCTGCACAAAACCCCAGTTAAAGGAAATGCTTCACCTTAGTTTCACTATAATTATTAAACCCCTCTTCAGTTATTGCTGGACAGTGTATGTCAGTTCTACAAGTCTTGAAGACTTGTTAAGGAAGGGTCTTTACTACATCGAATGAATTTTGAAGGAATATTTTTGTTCATAAAGTTAAGTTTATGGTCATTTGACCTGCGTATATTTTTCATTGATCTTGTGCTAACGGTATTGTACTTTACTGAACCTTTGTTGTAAGTTAAGTTTAGAATCAATTAGTCTATAATTGATAGCAGTGAATAATTGACCTGAACATGATGTATATGGACATTTATTGAAAGCAATTATCGGATTAGAAACCTTGTTCTTAAACTTTGCTTTCATATTTACAGTTTAAACAATATCTGTTCAGCACTAGTATAATATAATTATTGCTTCAGTATATTTTCTTGAATGTAGCTTGCTGAGATGCAATGTTTTCTGTGGTAGGTTTTTGCTGGTGCTAAGCCTCTCTTGGATAAAACACTTGGCATTCTTGTGGAAGGCTTGATTGACACATTCATCAGCATTTTTCATGAATATGAAGCTACTGAACTTAGTGCACTTGATACAAATGGATTTTGTCAGCTCATGCTTGAGGTAAGTTGTAGTACTGTGGCGTATTAAGCCATCGATGATAATAGACATGCCATATTAAGCCCTCGCTGAAGCTTGTGGCATGCCTTGAAATTGGAATGGGGCATACTTCCCCTAGAGTTTGGTGTATTTGGAAAAGAAAAATAAAGATGTTTAGTATAGGAAATACCTTTGTACCCTGGAATCTGTAAATAGTAAGGAACCACTAAAATATATTCTTTAATCTGTATGCCATTATATAATATGATAGAACACAATATGCTTCATGTTTCATGTTCTTTACCTGCACAGTATAAATTTAGACATGACATGATGACCAAAAACTTAATTTTTAGCTTAGATTGTTTGATTAATCAACTTGTATCTCTGCAGCTTGAGTACTTCGAGACTATATTAAACCCATATTTTACATCTGATGCAAGAGATTCCTTGAAGTCTTTACAAGGATTACTTTTGGAAAAAGCCACTGAGAGTGTGACTGATGCTGGCGACAATCTGGGACATAATCGACGACCAACTCGTGGCAGTGAAGAGGCACTTGGAGACGATAAGCAACAAGGAACAACTGTATCACCAGATGAGCTCATTGTAAGCAACTAGTTGATGTAGTTTGTTGCTCAAGTTCTTGGTTCTGGATTTAACGTTACTATAGACTTGTTTAGCGACACGAAAATGAGATTTATTTTGTTGTGGGTTCCATGTCTGTGAAAGCAGTTCTGATACTGGTCATTGTGTGCTGAATTCTGTTCTAAATTTACTATCTAAAGCTGTATTTGTGTATTTCAGAGTCTTGCACAGCAGTACAGCTCCGAGTTCCTTCAATTAGAGCTTGAGAGGACACGCATTAACACAGCGTGCTTTGCAGAATCTACTCCTTTGGACACTATGCCAGAACCAGCCAAATCTGCTTACTCTCCTTTCAGGAACTCAATGGATTCCCCTAGCAAAAACTACAGAGGTACCTATAATACCGGATCTTCTAATATGACTCGGCATAGACACTGATGGGTATAAATTGGTACCCTTATTCTTTTAGTTTGTTTGCCTTTTTTGTATTTATTGTAGTATATTTTTGGTTTAGTAGTTAATGAAAATTTGTATTCTTTGACCGTTACCTCTTTGTAAAGGTGGTTGACAATTACCACATATAATGATGAATTTTGGAACGTATGTCGGCATTCCCCCGTATGCCAAACGTAAGTGTAGTGAGTTTTGATATTTGAGTTGAACGAGTGATTTGGATGTGAAGGATGCGAAGATAAATGAATGTAGTAGCTTATCCATCATATCGGCAAAGCCTTGCATTGAACAAACCCAAAATATGTTGGCCGTTTATTTGATCGATCAAATTTTTAGTTGTGGTTCTCGAGAAATCTTGATTTATAGATTTCTGGTTCAGATTTTTCAATCCACACAATTTTCCGTACCAGTACATAAGCCGCCCTATATAATTTTTCGTGAAATTTATAATTAACGTGGATTTTGGAATTGTTTTTTCCTCTGAAAACATGAGTAACACTTGGATTCTAATTTGATGCTTCATGATGTTTTTTATTATTTCTGTATCGTATATTAGTTGGTTGTTTGAATATTCATATTTCTATGAGAGCATTCTCGCGATTGTTTTTGGAAGAAATACGATGGAAGCCTTTTCGATTTAAAATTATTTTGATGTATGATATTGGGTGAAGTGACGGAATGATGTTGATGAATCAAAACAAAATTAAGATAAGAGTTCGGATGTTACAGAAATTATTTTCCTTCGTTTGGATGGTCAAAATGCGTGTAATTCTTTATTTTGAAAAAGGCTTGCAATGTGCTTTTTTACTGCTGATTAATTTATTTTATATGTACACATTATATAAATCTCGCTCTTTGTTGACTGATTTATTAAAAATTACAAAATTATTCAAATTTTGCTTATTTAAAATTTTAAAAATCTAAATTAATAATACTTTAACAAATTTGAAATATTCCTTTATTCGAAAATGTGTTAGAAGTGTCTTGTTAGAACTTCTCATTAATTGGACTTACCTGATGGGAGATAATAGAAACTTTAAATAGCTCTGGTTATAACAAAAAACTATGATTTGAAATTGTTCAATATAGTTTGGAGTTCATAATAATAATTTCGTATTATTGTTATCGTATTCGGTTACTTCTGTCACCTCATTTTGAAAAACACCCAATCGAGATTTACGGGCCCGTCTCATTTGTTATCCTAAATCTCCCCTACAAAGACATGGTTTATTTGGGAGATGAAGAAAGGAAACGGAAACTGAAGAAAACATGATGGGAAGATGAAGACACGAGAATATAATCTTGATGGTTGCTTTGGTTACTGGAGTTTTCATCCACGTTCATGAATTATTCACTTGATTTGCATAAAAATTTTGGTTTATTAACTTGAATAAATCAAAGCTAACAATAATTTTCTTATAACGGGGCATAATTTGGTGGAGAAAAAAAAATTTAGTGAAAAAGGTATATAGGATTTTTGGAGCCATTTGGTGTGAAGAAGGAAGTTGAGATATGGGAAGGAGTAATGGTTGTCAAAATTTGGAAACATAATGATTCAAGAAGCAAGAGTAAGGTTTTGGTGCGCTTTTTAGGTGCTTTTCCTTTTGACCCAAATAAACATGATGTTCATTGAACTAAACGTGAATCAAAGGTCCCAAATGCAAGGCTACCTACCATTCTTTCCCGGCAAAAACATCTTATCTCATTAGCCACTTCCTCTGTCTTCATCTGCACAAACAATGCCTTCTTACTCTCGACAAAGCTTTCAACAATTATAACTCCACTTTAAAAAAAGTTCCTTTCATTCATTCACACACACACACACACTTATACACATACAAACTTAGTAAAAAAAGATAGAGAAAAAGTTCAAGACACAGAATAATTAAAAGAATTTGGGATGTCACCTAAAACGATTGACACGAGGTATGATAGTATTAAAAGCACGACAAAAACCTTAATTAGGTCAACACAGAAGAGGTGGTTGTAGGGGGTTTTCTCCTTAATTTTTTCTTTGTTTTTAAAAAAGTTACACAAAAGCGTATAAAAGGCAATGATGTAAGGGATTTCCATTATAGCATAATAATGTAAAACCCATGACCTATGATTCGATTGTTCTGTAAAACGTCTAATATGATTCGTTGTTTAAACTTTAACAAAATCAAAAAAAGGTTGATTTCATGCTATAATTTTTTTTGTAACTTTTTTCCTCAAAAGATTACATTCTTTGTTTAGAAGAAATAGTAAAATATTTATTTTAAGTTGCATAATTATGGTAATCTGTTTTCAATACATTTTTACTTTAAAAACACCTTTACTTTTTCTATATAAATCGTAAATAATTGTAATTAGTATTTGTATTTGGATTCTAGTTAACTCCTTCCAAACTCTAGCATTCCAATATTGTTTTATAAAAGAAAAAAATATTAATGAATTCTAAAAATTACTGGTAAATTCTATTGTAATTATTTCATGTCTTTCTTTCTTTCCTGCTGCATGGCTAAAATAATGAGAGAATATAAATTCCATCAAACCTACCTTAATTTAATGTAAATACATATTAATAATCTAATGATAATTATAAAAAATATACAGCTTAATTATCAGTTAATTTTTTCATAAAAGATTCAAGTTTAAATCTTCTTTATCCGAGACTATCATGTCATGGTATTGTCATTTTTTTATCTAAACGTATATATTTTGATGTTTTATTACGGAGGTTAATTAAACCGATAGTGCTTAACTATTTTCCATCAAAATTAGAAATAAAAAACATTTAGCATATCACAAAGAATGATAGTTTTCATTTTAAAAAATGTTTAGAAGAAATTTAAAATAGAGCTCGTGTAAGTAAATAAATTTTTCAAATTCTATTTATATCTAAATATTATGGGAAAAAAATAGAAAATTATAGATATAAAATAGATATTTTAAATGGATATTCGCACAAATAATTGATATACACATTTTAATTATTCATTTTTAATTATTTATTTGTTAATGATGGTATCTATACCTATATATGTCCATTAATAACTTTTATTTAAATTTTTAAAATTAATTTATTAATTTAAAATTATTAGTAAAAAATATTAGTTAATGAAAAATTATTTATAATTTTAATTTATAAATTTATGTTTTTTTATCTAAGTTTATGAAATTAAAATTATTCAAAATTATACTTATTTGACATAATATGTCAAAATTATTAATTTTATTTTTGTGAGATGATTTTATTTGAATGATACTCTAAAATAAAAAATTCTTAAAATGTATGTCAGGAGATCCAAAAATACTGAAGTCTTCATCATTCAGAGAGCCACACGTTCCAGGTTAAATTTTCTTACAAAATTCATACAACTTCTAAGATTTCTTTTATTTTTTACCAACTCCATGCTTTTTCTTACGTTATCATCAATTTTGTTTAGATTTATAGCAGTAGAAAAACTATCTGTTGTATTTTCTATAAAGTTTAGTTCTTTTAAATCGCATTTCATATATAGCTTCCTCTATGATGTTCAAAATTAAAAAAGAGTTTCTTGATGTCCAATTAGCCATCATGACTCTAGGGTTTTATAGCTTCCTCTATCTTACAAATACATATTTATATATATAAAGATAAGATGTGGTATGAATGTGGATCACAGTCATTCTTTATCATGTAAAAAATCAGAAAGCATGGATCATCAAATCCTGCATATCTGTTATCTGCATAATTATTATTTCTTTTGTTTGAAATGCAATGACAGACATATGAGAGTGGTGATGGAGTTTATAATAAAAAATGAGAATGTTGGGCACAATTCTTATAGAACTTGAAATTGAATGGAACTCTTTCAGAAAGCTTTAGCTTGGATGAATGCCAAGTAGGAATAGGACAAAATTTATGGAGCAAATAAAAAGCAGAAAACATGACAGACACATGCATTTTTCAATGTGTATTAGGAATTATGGCGTAGCATTTTAGTTGTGCTGTGAACACGTTATACTCTAAGTACAAGAAACAGTGATGATAATTAAAGTTGGTAAAAAGATGATGCCAACACAGTACTTTTTAACTTATAAAAATACACACACAAAAGAAAAAAAAAAAAGTTTTGTTTTTTCTTTTTCTGCCGTGTTTTAAAGTCAACGAGAAAAACACGAGTTAGAACTTTACCCTGCACCTACCCGCGGAACACGACATTGAAAAAAAAAATTACTTTATTAACATAATCTTGAATAAATTGTTTTTTTATCACTTTGTTTATTTGGTTTGATATAGTATTTTTATCATAAAAAAAATTCATATTAATCTATATGTTCTTAAAATCAATGCAATATATTTACATTTAAAATAAAGTTTTCATTGTTATCTGAATTGAATCCTAGATCACTTGGTTAAAAACTTGTATCGACAAATATTGGTACATAACAGTAATTTATAATAGTCATTACTTAAATTATTTTTCTAATTTAAAAAATATAATAAAACTATAATTAATAATAATAATAATTATTATTATTATTAAATTATAGTTTTAACATATGGAAATTTGATTGTTAATGATAAAAAATATGTTTTTAATTTTTTGATATAAAAATTAGCATTATTGTGTTGAAGAAATAGTACTAGAGATTGTGTTGTTTGTGACTATTTTGTAAATAGACTAACACAAAGTATTATTTTTTTAATTATTTGGTATGAATCTCATGGTGGCGTTTTATTCAGCTTTATCACCAAACACCCAAGAAAAAGTCTCACATCGTTAAACTAAATTACTAATAACTTAAATATACATAGTTTGAGAAATATAAAATTTAAAATAATTACCATAAAAGTTAAAAAAACATTATAATATTAATTTGTAATTTTATAAAGATATAATATTAATATATGTATTATTTATGGCTTAATTTTTACCCTCATCACAAAATGTGTTGGTGGCACTTCATGGAACATTGCCCTCTTATCTCTTTTTAATAATCAAATTAATTAAAAGCATGAATAAAAAATTAACTCAAAAGTCTTATTTTCTTATCCATTCTGGATAAAAAAATTTAATATTGTACCTAAGTTCAACGCATCTCATTAAAATAATCTTTGTTTTTATTGTGAAAGTATACAATCACTTTATATATATAAATAAATTACTTGGATAAAAAAGTGAAGAAGTTCAAATTTTGCTAAAAAAAAAAAAAATTGTAAGAAAATTGTGAATAGGTGGTGTTAATTTACCTAACAAATTGAAAAACTGAAATGATTGGTGGAGGTGTGTTTTTGAGTGGGTTATGTGGTCCAATCACAACCTCACAAATATCACGCACACAACAAACCCAAGTGGAAGGAAAAAATCATATACTCAGTGGACAGCACGTGCCATTTGACACGTGCCCATTCTCTTTTTCTCACTCGTCACAACCCAATAAGCGAAATGGATAGTGACGTGTCATGCGACAGCGGGTTACATTAGCAAAACTCCGTTGTGCTGCTGCGGAGAAAAAGCGAAAGAAAAAGGTGTGTACACTTTGGGGGAAAACAAATTCCTTAAAATAAGTTTTTTCTTTTATTTTTTCATTTTAAAATTAATTATTAAACTCTGAAAACTTTTTTTATTTCCTTACTTTAACATTCAAATCACCCAAATAATGAAATAATTTTGGTTCTAAAAATATTTTAAATATTTGTGAGTCAAATTTGTCACAATCAAATATAATCTGAGAATATATGAGAAGAAAACATGATGCGGGCGCGTGGGCACACAACTATATATTCGACAACTCATGTACTTCCATCTTCAAACAATTGACTCATCAAATATTCCTCAGTAATTTTATTTATATATATATAATCGTTAAGAATAATTATTATATTTATTATTTAAACATCACTTTTTTTATAATATCGATTGAAAATCTCACTTCAATTAATAATATTTTTAAATTATACTATATAATTAAAATAAAAATTTTACGTCATACGTTAACTTTATAAAATTAAATTAAATTGAATTAGAAACTTATTTGTTTCTATTAATTTTTTTTTGGGTTAACTGGAATAAAAACAATCCTACACACCATCAATATCATTGGCAACTCACTTTGATAAATACATTAAAAAGATGTTAACTTTTTATCTTTGAAAAATAGTAGACATGAAAAGAAGGAAAATAAGAATTTTGGTACACTCGTTTGTGAGAAACCTAGGGCATGTTTGGCAAAGCTTGCGGCCACAACTTTTTTTCACCGCGTCCTTGTCGCCCAAAAATGAAATAAGCTTTTGAGACTAAAATATAATAATGCTTGCATACATGTTCTATATAGGTCTCAAAAAATTTACTTTGTTTTATCGTTGAATTAGTTGATGATTAAATTTTAATCTCAAATATATTTGTTTTTAGTTTCTTAAAAAAATTGTTATGCCGTTTAATTATAAGGATTAAAATAACAATCTCACACACAAAAAAAGGACCTTTATAGGGCAGGATTCAAATAGAAAATTTGAAGAACATAAACAAAATACGACTATTTAGTTCTTTTAAGTGATTAAACTTTGCATAGTGTCACAAGATCTTTTAAGAGTTATATTAGTTTTGATGTGGTAATATTTTTTGTGTTCCATCGTTATCTTTGACATAAAAGTCGTGAAATGATATTAAAAGGATTTGTTTTTTTCTTAATGTTTTGATCGGAAATCCACATCCCAATAGTTGATAATAATAGAGTTAACGATTCCCAGGATTATGACATTTTTAACAATGGTACCAAACGATTGTTAGAAGCCAAGTATAAAATAATAAATAATATAAATTAATTCAAACAATATTTATAACAATAATTATTATATAAATAAAACAATAATCATACATAAATAAATATCAGTTAGATAGATTTATTATTCATTATTTAAAATTTAATTATTTTTTGAGAATATTTATTGACATACCCATATTTTAATTTAGGTATTTTTCATATAATTTTAATATGATAAAATATTTTTCAAAAAGTATCACACAAAACACTTGAAATATGTATATGACATAAAATATCTTTTATTATAAATACCATATTTAATGATGGTAGAAATAATCAATAATTCTAATTTCACTTTTGAGGGTGATGAAAAAAATTAGAAATTGATCTAGTGAGTTAAATTTTTATTTATTGTTATTAAAAGAAGTTTTTATTCATAAATTTTGAAGTTTATTTGAGAGTGATTTAATTGATCCATGATAGTTAGTTATCTTTTAAAAAAATAATATTATTTCTTACTTTTTAATTTAAAAATTGTTTATTTATTTAAAATTATAATAAAATATCTTTAATAGAATTAATATTAATAATCATGCTCTGATAATCTGGGACAATGTTATTCTACATTCATGCCAAGTAACATATAAAATCTTAGTTTTTGATAAAAACAAAATCATTATCAATTTTTTTCCCTTTTCAAACAATGAATAGTGAACTTTTTAACTTATATGTAATAAAATTTGATATTATATTAAGCTCCAATATATATATAACTTAGATAATTAATATATTCTTGTATGATTGCCTACTTGGCTCTTTGTCCTCGTGCCGTGTCCTGTGATAAATAATTAAAGACAACAATTTAGAAATAATATTTTATAACTATTATTTATGTTGTTTTTCTAAATGAGGATTAAAGTTTTATCTTAATAATCTACATAATAAATATTTTCAGTAAAATATTATGTAACTTCTTTTTACAGAAAACATCATGCAACAATACCTAAAATATTGTATCTAAATTTTTTTCAACTTTATAAATCACTCTTTAGTATTACTATTTATTTCATAACGACATGTTTGCATCAATATTAATCATCATTTAAACAAAGTTAATAAAAATAAAAAACGAAATTTTAAACTTATAAATAATATATATATATATATATATATATATATATATATATTAAAATTATTTGTTTAAGTTAACAAAATTTAATAATTCAGTTTAACCTATATTTTAAAATATATTAAAATTTATAGTTTAATTTGATCGAGAATCAATTTTGATAAATTTAATATATCTATACCAAATTTAATTAAAAAATATATTTAAATACAAATAAGAAGGAATATATTTTTAAAATTTAAATTTTACTAATAAAATTAATTTTTATTTAAAATATTATAAAATAATACATTTATAAAAATTTACTATTCATTATTATTATTATTATTATTATTTATTAATTTAAATAATAATTAACCTTAATAATTAAATATTAAAATGAATAATTATTAGAAATTTATTCTGTTATTTATTATTAGAATAATTAAATTTTTATCAAATTAATTTATAATATATAATAATATAATATTATTTTTATTTAAAAATAATTATCATTATAGACTGATCTAGGAATTTATAAATTAGTCTAACTTAAGTTTATTGAAAAAAAAATCTTAATATAAAATATATTTTTTTCAATATATATGAGATATCCACCTGTCAAGTAATCTTATAAATGATAAAACCATCAGGTACAAATTGTAACATTTTTAATATTTAAAATTTTAAACACTAACCTAATTAAAATAATTATGTGTTATTTAATTCATGAACTTGATAGTTTTTTATAAAGGTTCTAAAGTAGTTTTTATTTTTCTATTGTCATACTTGTTAATTAAAAAAACACTATTTTTCTTAGATAAAAACGAAACGAGTTCTAACTAGAAAACCAATGATATTATAATTTCAGAATTAATTTAATAATTATTATTGTTGGATAATTAACCAATGTCCCTTTAAAGCAATAGTTATGATGTGATAAGGTTTGATACTGTGTGTTCAAGTTTCCATAAAAAATAAAAATGCCCTCCTCTTTTTCTTTCTTATCAAATTTCGTCACACGTCTTATCTATCATTTTACTCATTTAAATTAGGACAACCTTAATTTTGGTTTTTTAAATTTCAAAATATGCTTTTATTTTCTATAATTTGAAAAAAAAAAAATTTATGTCAGTTTCTAGACCCAAATTTAATAAAAAGTTATTTTATAAATTATTTAGAAAGTATTCATTCAAACAACATTGAACGTACAATGTTTGGTAAAAGAATAAAACTTTAAAAAAATGATATAAGCAATTAAAGTAACATATAAATTTGATCAAATTTATGATATTTAAAGATTTATGAATATAGAAATAGATTAAATAATACTGGGTATTGAAAGTTAATCGTGAAAAGATGGCTGAATTGAGTTGAGTAGAACCCTAATTCACAGACACTGAGTACAACTCCGTTTGGTACGGAAAATGCTTCCGTAGTTGCAGTTCATGCATGGCTCGCCGCCTCAAACAAACCTCACCGCCTCAAAACAAACCCGCAATTGAAGAAAAGAATTTGACACATTTAATGCATCCATCTCCCTATGTTTCCATCAATCAACACTGATTTCAAAGATATGCACAAACAAAAAGAAAAATATAAGCTTTAGCTACACACTATTTATGGCAAACGCTTAATTCAGTGATGCCAATGCTATCATTTTTTTTTTCTAGAGCAGAATTCAACGCTTGAATTGAATGAATCTAATGATAAGAATCATTCAAACTGTATTACTCTCACAAGGTAGAAAAAAACCATATATGTAAGAATATTTATCAGAATAAACTTTATCGTTTCAACGCTTGAAAGGTCTGGTTTTGCCTCTGAAGTCATATTCATGCAATGGTAGGACATGCATTGGAACGTTGAAGTCACCATCACTCTGCATAATCAAATGGATAGAGAGCGTTATGTTTTTGTGGCCTTTGAATGTTACGTGCTTCATAACTCTGATTATGATAGAACTGAGTTCTTCGTCCATTTAATTATGCACCGTGAGATACCTGATTGAAAATTCACATGTTGTAGGTAGGGTTGTGTACCCCTTAATTCTGTGATGATTGTATTCTTTAGTTTTTTTATATATAGTTTAATTTGCTTATTAACATTACTTCGTGTGCCTCTCAAAAACATCATCAGTTATTATAAACACAATTAACAACAAATTTAAATATTTGATTTCTCTCTAGAAGAAAAAAAAATATATATATATATATATATATATATACTTTAAATATTTGTAATAAAAATATTCTTAATTGTCAGAACATTTTTTCTTTTCGAAATAACTTATGTATTCCCGACAATGTGAAAGAGTTTAAAATTTTGAAAGGAAAATATCAGTGTTTCCACTTACATGTACAAAGTTAATGCACGTTTGAGAATCATTTCACACTTTCCAAAAAAAGAAGTGAAGTTACTATGTTGAATGAACAGCCATTTAAAGATATGGTTCAGTTTCAACTAATGTAATATATTTGCTTTAAGAATTGGCAATAGCAAAACATAGAGTGCATGTTTGGATTGAAGTAGAAAAAAAATCAAAAGTATTTATACTTAAAAAATAAAAAATATCTTTTTAGTAATAAAACGGAAAGTTCCAAACCAAAGATGGAAGTGTGTGTCCCCATAACCAGAAAAAGAGTAAGATTGAGTGATGAAAGCATGTTAGGTAGATCCTAAAGGATATAAGTTTGACTTACGTATGAAGCAGTGTGAAGAAGAGCATAGATGTGTGTTGGTACAATACAAGTTCAAAAGTGGTATACTAAAGTAGCAAAGTGACGGTAGAATTAATAGGATATGTTTATTGAGAGCAGAAAATGAAGATCCAAAAAATATCCTGCAGTAGTCATGAATTCATCTCCTGCTGGCCAGGCAATGGGCAATAGCATCTGCATCTGTCTGCTTCTACCATGCCAGTACGGTTTTCAACTTCTGAACACTATTTAAGATTTTCAACTCCCTCCAGTTATTGCTCCTCTTCTCACCTCACCTTCACTCCATTCCCTCCAACATAAACAACACTTATCATCCAAGAGAGTTCATTTTTGTCACTCATAAATAACTCTATTTTAAAATACTATAAAGTAAAGTATTATGGTCAATTACCATTTACAGATTCAAAACAGCTTCTTAACTCAAATCCAACTTAAACTTGGTGTTGTTACTTTTTTATGTTTTTTTTTTATTTATATTTAAAAACTGAGAACTGAGGGAAAAAAGGGGAAGGGATAAAGAAAGAAAAAAGTATGAGAGACAGAAAGTGGACCATTCCACGAACCATTGCACCTTGCCAACTACATGTATATGATCGCCACGTAGCTATTCGAAATTGGTAGCTCCACTTTAACGTGGCAGTGCCATGGGTTGTGATCCCTCCATAAATACCCCTTGTAATCCTATGCCTCGTTCCTCTCACTTCATTCATTCCTTCCTAAACACACTTCTCTTCTAAGTTCTTCCTCCTGTTCCTCTCTTTTTTCATCATCATTTCTTCCCTCTTTTTCAACTTTCCACAAACTCCTTTCTTTCTTTTTGTCCCCCAAAGCCTGAGAGAGCAAAGAACACCAATCTAAGGAAAACAATAATGCCAACACCAACCCCAACACCAACCCCAACGGCAGCGTTTGGAGGAGTAGAAACTCCAAATGGAGACTCCTGTAACACCAATCTCCCTCCCAAACACACCCCTCAAGAATCGCGTGACCTCCCTCCTTTTTTGTCTTCTTCTTACCCCATCACTCTTAAGGTATTTATTATTACATTACACTGTACTACAAACAATAAAACAATAATTAAACATAATAATTAATCTTCGTTTCACCCAGTCATCATGAGTTTGACTTGACTCTACACTTTCTTTCCCTTTCCTTCTTTTGTGGAAAAATTAATGCAATTCAAGCAAGGAATTCGTTTTCATGTTTTAATGTTTTTCATGCAACGCAGTTCATGGACGTCGCATACCGGTTGAAGATAGAGGCCAAACAAAAGAGCGGAGGGAGCATCAAGAGGTTGTTTACGCCGCACGAATCACCACCGTCTGATCATGGATCAAGGGCGGCCGTACCTCAGGAGCGAATCATTTTAAAGGGCGTAACGGGGATAGCACACCCAGGGGAGATCTTAGCGGTGCTTGGGCCTTCGGGGAGCGGAAAATCGACGCTCCTAAACGCACTCGCTGGGAGACTCCATGGAAACGGCCTCACCGGGACAATCCTCGCCAACTCGAGCAAACTCAACAAATCGGTTCTCCGGAGAACCGGGTTCGTTACACAGGACGACATCCTCTACCCCCACCTCACCGTCCGCGAGACGCTAGTGTTCTGTGCCATGCTGCGCCTCCCGCGGGTGCTGCCGCGCGCGACCAAGGTCGCGGCGGCGGAGTCGGCGATCGCGGAGCTAGGGCTGAGGAAGTGCGAGCACACGATCATTGGAAACAGCTTCATCCGCGGCGTCTCCGGAGGGGAGCGTAAGCGCGTGAGCATAGCTCACGAGATGCTGGTGGACCCCTCGCTGCTGATACTGGACGAGCCTACCTCCGGTCTGGACTCGACGGCTGCGCATCGCCTCGTGATGACGCTCGGGTCACTGGCGAAGAAGGGGAAAAGTGTAATTACATCGGTGCACCAACCATCGAGCCGTGTGTACCAGATGTTCGATAAAGTTTTGTTGCTATCGGAAGGACAGTGTTTGTACTTCGGCAAAGGAAGCGACGCCATGCGGTACTTTCAGTCGGTTGGTTTCGCGCCGTCTTTTCCGATGAATCCGGCGGATTTCCTGCTCGATCTCGCTAACGGTACGTCACCGTTTCAACCGTTTCTGTTATTTCTTAATGAATTACGGTTTAACTTATTGTTACAACTGCTGCTTGTTATTAACTGGTATGAATTATTAATGCTGAGTGATGTTTGCTTTTAATGAAGTGTTTGTCTCTGATTGAGGTTGATAAGTTGATATTATCCTCCTATCTTATCTATCTATTTAGTGTTTTGTAGTGGGGTAATGGCAATGGTAATGTGTGTAGTGTCGTTGTGTGGGGTAGAATTTTTAGTGTGTGCGTGTGTTCGTAAAAAAACTAATTAATGAAAGAACGTCATTCGGAGCAATACCTTGGACAACATACTGTGGCAGACATCATGTTATGTAACTCTCTGTTCCTTCTTGCTATGATTGCGTTCTCATTCACTTTGGGCTTCCTGCTTGTTAAATTCCTTTTTCTAGTTAATCAATAGCATCTTTTTAAAACCCTCAAAAGGAACATATGCGTGAAAAAGCAGATAAATAATATGATCTCCTTGTAAAAGATATAATAAAGACAAATTATTATTAATTTATTTTTAAGAAAATAATTATTCATATTTCATTTTTCTTATTACACATCATAACTGCTAGCCATTATTTTAAGCAAAATATATATTAGTGTTTTTCATATTCTGCGGATTCTCGTGAGAATAAGAGTTATCAAATGTTACTTTTTCATTTCTCCCCAACTCCTTTCCTTTGTTGGGTCTCTTTAGTGGAAATTTAATAGCGATCACTCTAATATTCGGATCACTCCTAGAACATAATAGGATGAAGTTTAAAGAAATAACATCTAAGTGACTTTTTCGTAAAAAAAAAAAATGAGTTGGCCATTCGTACTTTGGTAGTGGTGATGTCGATTATTAAGTGTAAAGAATATTAGTAATCATAAAGATGATTTTTTTAAAAATCATACATAACATCTCTTTATATATTTTACTTTTCTTTCTGTTTTTCGCTTGGAGTAATGATTTTTCATTTAATAAATGTATATTTTAGGTATAAGCTAGGAGAGAAAGATAAAGATTTCTCCTTGAGTGGAACAAATCGATTAGATACGTAATGGGTTTTGATTTAGCATCAATATTGGGATGCTTTATGTAAACAATTCGCTGATGCTTACCACGTGTCTTCTTTTTTTGGAACTGTCTGTGTTTGGCTTTACTTTTTCTTGCCATTCTTGTATAGCCAGTTAGTTTTCCTTTTTGTGGGGCCAACCTGATTTGACTCCTTATGCTTCTGGTTTTTCCTCTCTTTTTTCGTCCAATTTTTTTCATCCTCCAATGGTCAATACTGTTTCTTATTGGCCCAACCAAATTTGTATTCATTGCCTCCTCCAGCTGGGCATGCAAAATTTCCCTTTAAATTAACTAGAAATTTGATAATTAAACTATTTAAGTCTTCGTTTACGAAGCATTTTGGAATTAAGCTGGATGTATCTCCTTTAGGATTTTAAATGATGAATTTTCTTGGATATGGAGGGAATTAAGGGTATATTTATTATTTTTACAAATTGTTGAATTTGGTTGGTTTTCGCTCAATTTATCTATTTTTAGAGGTTTCATTTGAATAAAGATAAATTAGAAAAATTGTTTTATTTTTTTTAGGAATACTATACTTTCTCGAAAATATTCGAGAATATTTTCAACAATACTTTTGATCATCTATTTTACTTTTTTTTTTATTAAAATATTTAGAAATAGTTTGAATTTTTTACTGACAACTTTTAGAATTAGAAAAATAAAAAATTCAAATTGTTTGGTTTTTTTAGTTCAGGAAACGGGAAAGATGAATAATGGGAATTCAAGTAATTAGATAGACTCCTCAAAATTGTGGAGACTAAGCTTAGCCCATTTTATGAAACAGAAAAGTGTGGTTTAAGAAACTAAACAAGTAGTTAAGGGTTTTCAATTCCCAATCAAATTCAGTATGGTGCCAATTTTATGTGGGTCCCGATATATGCCAAAATTGGAAGAAAAATAGCAGGGATGCCATATCATGTTATGCAGGCATGGCCCCTTGTTACTACAACCATCAACCATATCCTTTTCAATAGGAACAAGTTGATATGATATCCTTTAGAAAGAATAAATCAGAATCGACTATACCTTTGTTGTGATGTCCAAAATAGTCGTTTGGGTTGAGCTTCTACGACCATAATAAATTATTAGAGCAGGCTTTTTCAACGAGGATTTATTTGAGAATAACATCTACGAGTAAAATTCATATAAGGGATTGATACCAATATAAAATTTTAAGGTATTCTCTTATGTTTTATTGATATATTGTTTCTTCTTAGTAAATTCTCTTCAAAAGACCCCGACAAGTAGAATTAGAGCAGAAAGTTGATAGATGGTAAATCAGAATAATTTTTATATCGAAAGTCTTCTTGACAGAGTTAGTCTGGTAAGCGTGTCTTGTTAAAATGATCTTTATATCGAAAATTTTCCTAACAAAGTAGGTTAGGTAAGCATGTTGTTATAAACAACATTCCATAAAAGGATCATTAGTGAGCTTAAAGGAATGGAATGTATCAATATGTAGAAATTTATACATGAGAAATTCATACTTAAAAGGAAGAAATGGATAGAAATTCAATTATGATTCTAAATAAAAAAATTGAACAATTGTATAAAAAATTATGACTGATAACCTAATTTCTTATATTACGAGTCCCATAAATCTTTACTATTTTGAGTCCCATAAATCTTAATCTTTAGTTGATTATCTTTCTTCACTGTGAATTCCTCTATAAGAAAAGTAACACTTGGTGCAGATATATATTCACTATTCAAAAGCAGACCCTTGGACAATTTTTGCATTTTTATATTTCTTTTTCAACTAAACGTCTCTGTTCCTCGTTTCTTTGTCAAGTTCAAACATAGCAAAGAATTTTAAATAATTGTTTTTATAATTAATATATGAAGTTAGTATAAGCTCTCTGAATAATTTTCAACCTTTAGCATCTGTTGAAGGACAGATGTAATTGTGTAGACTAGAGTAATAACAGTTGAAAACGGCATGCCATGTGGACCAAAGCTCTTTGTGGCCGGTCAAAAGAGAACGTGCATATGGTATAAAGTTGGAAATGCTTGGGTAATGGACCGAAGTGTTTGAGTTGTTGATAACTGGCCTTTTTATTTGTGCTCCTGTTTGCTTCTTTTAGTATAGCTAGATTGGTTGGTGATATCACTAAGCACAATCTCTAATTAATTATTTCATAAATTAGTTACTGGTATGGTAAGTGCTCTTTGACTAGGAATTTTTATCTTACATGGGGTTCAGCACCTTTGGCACTAAAAGATGATTAGGGATATGTGCCTCTCTTGAACTTTTTCGTTGATTCTTGGGACCATGATGATAATGTCCATATTAAGGTGGAGGAGTTGATGACGCCATTGATAGCGTGAGAAACCATCATACTGCGGTTTAAAGGAAAAAATAATACAAAGAGCACCTGGGAAAGGTGGCACACTAAATCCCTGTCTGCCGTTAAAAATAGTGATAAATTCACACGTAATTTACAGCTCTGGTTGGTATATTGTTTTCTATGGAGAAGTTAAGCCTACGGGGGTATAACAGATATTAGAGTTGGGTTTTGGATATATCTTTGTCAGTATGGCCAATGTTGATACTTTTGATTTCTTTACATACAATTTGGTGTAGGTTGATGATATCTCCTTAATAAAGTTTCTCTTGCTCCTAACGTTTTACATCCATCCTCTATATTAAAAGAACAAAATAGAAAAATAATTTGTTCTTTATTATAAAAGTTTAATTTTGGTATAAATTAATCTAGACCTACTCGAGCAGATGGTCTTGGAGGCCGAATTCAAATTACATCTGGAAAAAAAAAAAAAAAAAAAAACTTGACCTTCACTTCTTTGACAATGATCTGGCCAATCTTGCAGTGGTCTCTTTTCCATTCACTTTATTTCTTTTTCTCTTTTCCTCCCACTTTTTTAAGAATCTCTTATTTTAGGATCTGTTATAGAGCTACACGTGTTGGGTTGCTTTACATCCACATAAACCTTTCTCCCGAAAAGTGAAGTCTGATGGCAGAAAGGTGTAATGAAATTAAAGTATATAGCTACATTTATATTATGCAAATCAAAGTGGGAGCTGGTGGCCCAGTCAGCAGTGCCAGCACCACTCGTAGTGGAGACTCACCATAACACTAACATAAGTCAGCTTTTACAAGTCCCACTGTCCTATTTAAGCACGTTCATGCCCCTAATCACCTCTTTTTGGAATAATCAAGCACTTGTTTAATTAATTCAAACATATTTTCATTTAATTTATCCCTGGTTCGACCTATCCTATATTTTGTACTTTCCTAAGCTTCAATATCTTTTTTTTTTTTTTTAAACAGATCTGCCTCTATATGTAAAACTATATATTACATTTTTTTTTTGCATAGGGCATAGCCATGGTGCTTATTACGTCTATCACTTTCTGACCGTGCAGTTTATTCCGCTATTGGTTGAGAAACTGTATTATACAAAATTTTTATTTTTATATAAAAATATCTGACAAAAAGATAGATAGGAAAAGAAGAGAGAGAAAAAAATTAGATAAGATGATTAATGTGACAGAAAGAGATTAAAAACAATCATAAAAGATCGTTATATAAAATTAATTATTATATGAACAATAGAACTCATGTTGCTTTAGATAAGAACTTTTCGTTGAAGTCTTCACTCTCTCTGGTTTTATTGTGGATTATCCCTTTCCATTCCTACTTCTTTGTCGTGGTGGTATGCTATCCCTTTTTTCCTAATATATATATGTATTATATATTCATGTGTGTATATCACTGACCAATTCTTTTGTTCTTCTTTTCTGGTTATTTTGCACCTATCCAGTTAGTTTATTCACGTAAGAGATACAACTAAATAGTTGAAATGCATAATAGAATGAGCTTTATATTGTTTTACGAGGGGAGACTTCTAAGATATTAATCAAGTTTAGCCTTGAATCCTGCAGGTGTTAGCCATGTCGATGGTCAAAGTGAAAAAGATAGACCAAACATAAAGCAAAACCTAATCCATTCATACAACACAATACTGGGTCCCAAGGTAAAAGCTGCCTGCATGGACGCTGCCAGCGTTCCTACAAAAAACACAAACCCTTTGAGAAGCAGCTCTTCGAAAGCATGTAGACGTAGCAACAGGGTTAGCTTCTTTGATTGGTTTTACCAATTCAGTATCCTACTCCAGAGGAGCCTCAAAGAAAGAAAACACGAATCCTTCAACACTCTGAGAGTCTTTCAGGTTATTGCTGCAGCACTATTATCTGGTTTAATGTGGTGGCACTCAGATTACAGGAACATTCAAGATAGGCTTGGCCTACTCTTCTTCATTTCCATCTTCTGGGGAGTCTTCCCGTCTTTCAATTCAGTATTTGCATTCCCTCAAGAACGTGCCATCTTCATGAAAGAGCGAGCTTCTGGGATGTACACATTGTCCTCCTATTTCATGGCTCGAATTGTTGGGGACCTGCCCATGGAGCTTATTCTTCCCACGGTTTTCCTCATTATTGCGTATTGGATGGGTGGATTAAAGCCAGATTTTTGGGCTTTTGTGTTGACTTTGTTGGTTGTGCTTGGATACGTGATGGTGTCACAGGGTCTTGGGCTTGCTTTAGGTGCAGCAATAATGGATGCCAAACAGGCTTCCACAGTGGCAGCAGTGACGATGCTAGCATTTGTGTTGACAGGTGGATACTATGTCCATAAGGTGCCATCTTGCATGGCTTGGATCAAATATATATCCACAACCTTCTACTGTTATAGGCTTCTGACTAGAATCCAATATGAGGATGGTAAGAAGATATCGTATCTATTAGGTTGCTATCATGGTGATAAGGGTGGCTGCAGGTTTGTTGAAGAGGATGTGGTGGGGCAAATTGGCACTCTGGGATGCATTGCGGTGATGCTTTTCATGTTTGTGTTCTACAGATTATTGGCTTACCTTGCCTTGAGACGCATCAAAAGTTGAAACTTGAATTTAAAATTCTGTCTTGGTTCTTTTGGGAAAGCTTGAATTAATGCACAAAAAGGATGGATCAATTTGTTAGCTCCTAGTGCTGCAGCGACCACGTTTACACTAGGCTTGACTGGCTAGTTGATTCGTACTAACTCAGGAAGAATGAATGAGAGACTTTCTGTTGTAATTGTAAAGTCATAGAATTAATTAACCAGCAACATTGAAGTGAAGAGAGAAAAGAAGTGTAATTGTAGATTTGGATTTCAAATCGCTCTCCAAGTGTTAAGGGAAGAAATAAAGAAATTTCTTTCGAATGGGATATATATATGTAATATTTATATTTAATCTTCAAGTGCTTTTTCACGGCTCTTAATCTGCCATTTCTTTTCATCCTGTGGTATAATGGAAGTATCGGAAACGAATATGGAGAAAGCTTTGCAGCCATGTGTTACAGTGGGTTTGGAGGACGTGTCGAAAATGAATATGAGAGAGAGAGATTGGAAGGAATCAGTCAGAGTAGTATACTTGTGTTACAAGTAAAAGGAACATCCTTTCCAAAGAGCTACTAATGTGATTTTAGAGAACATACTAGCAGTTATCAGCTCAATATGTAATACCGGCTGTGTCTATATGGAAGGCAAATTTTGACCTAGAAAGACAATCATGAGCTCCGAACACAAATTTTTGTTAAGAGTTGTGTTCTCCGTACTCATATTTACAAATTAAAAAAAAAAAAAATTGAAAAGGGAGATGAGAGTCAAATTATTAAAATATTAAAAGTAACAAACAATAAGATATAAAATGCGAAAAATCGGGGTTTGATAAATGACAAAAGAGGAAAATTGATGCATCAAAGGATAGAGTAAGCGGAAGCTTGAGAAAGATTGAGAACATCAGAGAGAAAGAAAGGGAACATAAAAAATTAGAGTACGATCAATATAAGAAAAAGATAAGGAAAAATTAAGATGGGTATGCAGTAGTTACAATTTTATGATTTGCATATAGTCATGTTAATAGAACTATTCAGAAAAGGGAAAAAATGGTTATAGAACTACTCAAAAAGAGAAAAAATATTAATAGAAAAAAATAATTTTTATTATTATCTTTATTTTTATTTTTCTTTTCAATAGTCACAAAAGATAATAAATATAAATAAGGGTAAATAAGTGAAAGAGAAAGGTGATAAATTGTATTAAAATAATTATGTTCTTAAAAAAATTGACCTGAGCAAGGCAAAAAATATTTTAATAGAGTTTTAGAAAAATTTGAATTATCATATTTTTTTTATCAGTTTATTTTCTATCTTTCATAATTTATATTTTCTGTAATTTTTTCCGCTATTTATTATTTTCAGTAATTAATTTATATTTTTGCATTTTTATTTTCGTCTACTGTTTTTAATTATTTAAATAAATTCTTATTAAGTGATTAAATGATGTTTAAATAACTAAATTTATAATTAAATTAATTTTATAAATATTTTTATTAAATTAATGTAGGAATGATAAGTACTGATCAATAATATTCTTAGATTTAATTAAAATAATTTCTAAATTGAATAAATAATATTTAATAATTTTAAAAAAATCATAAATAATTTGTATCTAACATTTTTTTTCACTAAAAACACTTCCATAGTGTAAGCTATCTTGTATTGAGTGTGTTTGATATGAATCACAAGAGGTAATTTAGGATATTTAAAGTTAGAATCTTATAAGAAATTTAGGAACTAGAAAGAAGGTGGAAGGAAAAAATCACTCTTCTCAAGGGAGGCAACACACAAAGGATATGAAAGTCTTTTGATACAACTAAGGGTTCTTGAATCACTCAAGAATTTAGGAAAATCACTCTCATTAAGATAAAAGAGATAGACTCTAATATTTTTGAATAAAATTTCACTTGTTATTTCTTGATAAAAATGATTCAAATTGATATAGAAACATTGGCATCGAATTACAAATACTCAATAAAAGAAAATAAATACTAATAATAATCCATTAATTTAGGAATTGAAAACTATTTAATGAAAACAAATAAAGACTAATAATGATCCATTAACTTAGAAATTGAAACTACTTAATGACTGATTAGTATCCGAAATTGTGACAACCAAAAGTTAATCAGCTATGCACCCCTTGGTCTCCCAAAGGCTGATGACTAAATTTTTAATTAGGCCCTTATTACAACTTAAAACAAAATCAAACTAAAATCTATTAATTGATTAATTCAAAACATAATTTGGTCAACCAACAATACTCACTACAAGAAAAATCAAAATTTCCGACGGGCATAATCCGTCGGTAATAGTGTCATCGGTAAAATTTACCGACGGATTTTGCTAGTCCGTCGGTAAATATCATGAGTAATTACTGACAGATTTTTCCGTCGGTAAATACCCATTACATTACCGACGGATTATCCTTCGGTAAATGTCATAGATACTTACGGACGGATTATCCGTCGATAAATGTCATAGATACTTACTGACGAATATTTCCGTCAGTAAATACCATTTATGCACAAATCTTACCGACGGATTATCCGTCGGTAAATCCGTCGATAAAACCACCTCTAGTTCCAGAGCAGGTTATTTTTTTTTTTCATCCCATATAACCTGTAAAATAAGATTCAATCCAGTCCAATTCAATAATATATTCAACAATTCAATTAAACATAAATCTAACCCCCTTAATCATAAGTAAATTCAAATGTACTGTAATTTATGCATAATGAAACATAATGTATAATCCTAAAAAGAGTATCGACATACAAGTAGAATTGAAATATTATTCTATAGATGTTTGTATAACATTTAATAGTGAGAATAATTAGGAGAATGATGTTCTGGTATGTTGTCGTCCTGTGGTGGGTTATCTTGTTGCTCTTCATTCAATTATTGTTGTTGGGGTTGTTGTTTATCATCTGCTTCACTATGTTGATGCTGTTGAACAAGAGATTGTGCACTAGGGGGTAGAAGATGACCGACAAGGGATTGAAACTCTCTGAATTGGTGCTCTAGTCGTTCATTCTGCTCCCTTGTTCGAAGTATTTCTTCTTCTTGTACAGACAATCGTTGTCTCAATTGATTAATCTCTTCTAAGTCAACTGAGGAGTTGGATGCTTGAGTTTGATGCTTCAAGCTATCTGAACCACCCTGATAGCCATCAGCAAGTTGTCCAGCTCCATACAATCTTCCTTTATTCTTACCTCCAACTGTGTCCACCCAACAACGGGACCTTATAACTTCATCATGTGCAGTATCAACAGGAGTGGACTCAGGTTCGCCAACACAAGATCCAGCAGATGACCTAGCTTGTGAAAGTCTAGTTTCAAATTCCTCCTATTAGTAGAAACAAATCAAATTATTAACATGATTATTAACTTTACATAATATACAAAGTTTAACATGAAGGTTCTCACGTGTGTCTTCCTAGATCTTTCATCAACAAATTGACCCGTCTTCCTCCTAATATGAGTCTGTTGGAAGATCTCATCAATAAAAACTGATCTTCCAAGTTCCTTTGCCTACATTACATAAACAATTTGAGATATAAAACCCAATAAATTTTTCAAAATCATAAATGTATGATATAAAGACTTACCATACGTATGGCATGCTCATGTGTGCTGATAGAGCCACCGTGTGAAGGCTCCCACCCTTTTCGGATGCCCTATTTTTTGGGCTTGTGCAGATTTGGACCGATACATTGGTGAGTTCCAATGTGCTAGTAAACTGCTCCAAACGTGATCTCCAATCCAGTCTGGTCTTTGACCAGCAATTCTTGCATCCCTAAACATCTCACTAAGTCTGTGAGATGCTTTTGAATGAAAATTCTTCTTTATTTGATGTTCATGTTGTGGTCTCCACTGAACCTTCATCTATAAAAGTATAAATTGTTATACACATTATAGAAAAATGACTACAAAACATATATTCAATAATTATAGCTATATATACATTAATGGAAATCAATAGTAACATTAAACATGCTTCTAATAATTAAGTATGTACAAAAGATTAAGTTACCTTAAAACGTTGAAAAATTGACTCCTTATCACTATTAGGTATCACTCCCCATGTGGCCCAAGGTTGAAGAAATTGCTGCTTAATACTCTTTGTTATAGCTTGTGATGTAACTCTGGATGGAAGAAACCTAATTACAAAGAAAAATTAATACAAGTTACATATGTGCTGAAAATGATTAAAACTTAGTTATAATAAATAAATTGGAGAATTTAAATTAAATATTACCCTCGACCATAAGGTTCAATCATCGATCGATCATGTATAGCAGGAACATCTTCTTCAACCTCTGAATCAACATCTACAGTAGGTGAGTGACCTTGAGAGGAGGAAGGTCCTGAGGCCACAATAGGGGATGGAGATGGAGAAGGAGTGGGTGCCACAACTGGAGAGGAGGAAGGTGCTGACGCCACAACAGGGAATGAAGATGGAGAAGGAGTGACTGCCACAACTAGAGAGGAGGCGGGTGCCACAACTACAAGAGAGGCTGGTATGGGTGGTAAAATAGAAGTGAATGGTGTTGTGAATGGTGTGGGTACAATAGGTATAATGGGTGAAGGGGATGGTGTAGGTCCTACAACAGAGGATGGCGATGATATGGGTGCAACGGGTGTGGATGATATAAGTGTAATGGATGGTGTAGGTGTAGTGGATGGTCTAGGTGTAGTGCACGTGGAAGGTATATCTATGGAAACCACTTTCAAAACGTAGCGTGGTCTCTTTTTCTTTGATATCGCCTTCCCCTTTCCTTTATCACTACCAGAGGGTGGGGGTCGAGGTGGGTCAGGACCTCCTGTGGACATATCTATACATAAAAAAATAAGATTATGAATAACTTATGATGTAAAAACTCATATAAATTAAGGGACACTCAGTTAATAACATAATTCATAACAAATAAGGGTACAATATGTTTTTTTTACAAAATCAAAACATTTATGTTTCTAATTTTCTTGAAACATTAGGCTTCATCCTCATTATCGTCATC